TGGCCTGTTGTAAAATGAGGCATCCTTTAGATTGTGTGTGTATTTTGTAAAAAATAAATAAAATCATCCCTAAAAATAAGTAACCATCAGAGAAGGTCCACCTAGCGTTGCCCTGTCATTGTTGAACTCCGCTGGAAGTCGCCTCGTTGTGTGTGCACGAACACAGCAGCATCCTGCATTCCCGATGCATCCGGGACGCATCTGGGACGTGTGCAGGCAGGCCTTCACGTACACCTGCCACGAAGACACACTGCTTCCCAGCCCTGGCAGGACAAGAAGTCAGATCAAATGCAGCGCGGGACTAGCGAGCACTCACCACAGTCTGAGAGAGGTCCCCTGGCGCCTGTAGGCGAGCTCCCCCGGCTCACAGGCCTAAGGAAAGGGCTCTCTTTGAAGGCTTGGCCAGAGCGGGGACAGAAACCATCCCCCGCTAGTCTGGTCACACTCCTTTTGCTTCCCAAATCTCCTCCCTCTTCCCAAGGGCCTTGGGTGAAGTGGGGACAGGGAGCAGAGAAATGAGCAATATTTCTGTAGTTCCTACATCTGTCTTAACGCTGCCTTCTCACAACTTAAAAGTATTTAAAAGAACTTAAAAGAGAGGTATTTCTGCCGTTGCTCTCTGTTTCAGACTTGTCTGGACTGGAGAAGGCCCTCCGGGATAGAAGCACATGAGCAGGGAGGGTGGGAGGTGGCCGCCATGGAGGCTCCTGTTGTGACCCTGCGTGCTGGCTTCAGCTCCCAACCCTTCTGCAAGGAAGCCTGGCTGGAGCGCTTTCTCAGGGGCTCAGAAATACAAACGCCATGGGAACCCCCCCACGCCCCCACCCCAGACGGCCAAGGAGACCCAACTCAGGGTGCCCTTCCCACGGAGGGCAGGGAGGGGGCGCCTGGCTCGCCTTCTTCCTGTGGCTGATGAGTGCAGGGCGGGAAGAAAGACTAGACACTGACTTCTTCCTCAATATCTCACCCCGTACACACCTAGGTCATAAATTCACAGCAGCAACACGTACTCAGGGAGCTTCTCAGAGGGTCAGCCGCTGTGTCAAATGCCAGAGATACAACAACTATTGTATTCAATATCTTGCCCAGAAGGGGTTCAAGGTCTACTTGGGGAGACAGACATTTCAAAATGGAATCTCATGCCGAAACCGGTTTGGCTCAGTGGTAGAACGTCGGTCTGCGGACTGAAAGGTCCCGGGTTCGATTCCGGTCAAGGGCATGTACCTTGGTTGCGGGCACATCCCCAGAAAGGGGTGTGCAAGAGGCAGCTGGTCGATGATTCTCTTTCATCGATGTTTCTAACTCTCTATTCCTCTCTCTTTCTGTAAAAAAAAAATCAATAAAAAAAAAATATATATATATATATATATATATATATATTTTTTTTTTTTTTTTTTTTTTTAAATGGAATCCCAACAACTGAGAAGCACTATCATGCCTGGCCGTGGAGACACAGAAGGCAAGAACCCTGTTCTCAGGAGGGGAAGGCTTCACAGAGGAGGTGACAGCTAGGGCAAGGGTTTAAAAAAAAAAAAATGACACTTGAACTTTGTAATAATTCAAGCAAGAAGTGTCCAAAGAACGTAACAAAATACCTCAAGTCCCAAACCCAGAAATAACCAGTATACTTTCTTAAATGTGGTTTAAATGGAATTCTACTGGAGAAAAAGGAACTGCTGTGAAAATGAAGAAACTTACCGTTCAAAGGCCCAGAGTACAAAAGTGGCGAGGAGTTGGGTGGGTCTGGGTGGCGTGCAAAGTACCTGCAAGGGGCCCAGCCCAGGCTGACCACTGCATGAGGGCAGGGACATGTCTGTGTCATCACTAGGCCCTTAAGGAATAAAGTAGCACACTGGAGGCAGGCAGCCTAAGAGTCAAGAGGGAAAGGCAAAGAGGCCAGTCCATTAGGTATAAAGAAATGAGATAATAACATAAGAGCAGCCTCCCTTTAATGAGCTCTTGCATATGCCAAGTGTGAGGCCAAGCATTTTTCAACGCTCACAACAGCTCTACCTAAGTACTGTTATTATTGTCATTTTACACCCTAACAATATGAGAGGGTCTTCCCAAGATCACCCAAGTAGTAATTTAGGATCTGAACTCCTGGTGATACTCAGCACGGGGCCTCTGTCTTTCCAAAGAGGATTTCGAGAGGTTCTCGGTGTTTGAAAAATAAATCCTAATCCTGGTAGAGAACAAAATTCTACCAAGTAAACTTGAAGATCTAATTGGCAAAGTCATAAAGCAGCATCCCATCCAGCAAGTAGAAGGGTACTCTGAGGGGCCGTACAAATTGGAGGATGTTTATAGGAAGAAGGGCAGGGCAGGGGTGTTTTCAGTGAAAAAATAATAATTACTTTTAAATCAGGACATCTTTTGGGGGTGGAGAAAAGGGAAAGACAATGATTTTATGAGGCAGGTTGTCTCTTCTTCTTTGCAAGGGAGGCAAAAGATAGAGACAGGTGCTTGGCCAGAAAACTCCAGACTGGTTGATTAAGATTACATTTCTGGAACCAAGATGGCAGCATAATTAATGCGGTACTCTCCGCCTCCCACATCACAATTACAACCAAAATACAGGACAACCATCATTCAAAACCACCTGAAAACTGGCTGAAAGGGAGTCCTACAGCTAGAGCAGTAAAGAAAAAAGCACATTGAGACTGGTAGGAGGGGCAGAGGAGCAGAAAGGGCTGGTCCAACACCCACATGTAGTGTTTGTTTAATCAGGAGAGAGATCTAGGCTGCAGAGGCCTCCCGTGAGGAGCAATGGGTTCCAGCCCCACATCAGATCCCTAAGCCCAGGTTCCAGTGCTGTGAAGAGAAGTGCCTGAAACTTTAGGCTATAAAAACAGCAGCGATTGTGGCTGAGCGACACAGAGGCTGTCAGAGACCCAGGCAGTTCCTTTTAAAGGGCCAGCCCATGGACTTACTCAGACTTCCTCCCTCTGAGCTCCTACACTGGGGCAACAGCTTGGGGGGATCTAAGGTCATGTGGAGATGAACTGGATTGGCTGGCATTGGAGCAAGAACTTGGGGTCAGCTTTCTCTCAGACAGAGGTCATTGTTCCTATGCTGAGACCTCCCCCATTGCAGAGCTGACTGGCAGGTGCCATGTCTGAGTCTCCATCCACCTGGCTCACACTGTTTGCTCCACCCTGGTGATTCCCTGAGACCCACCCCACTCAATTTGCAGTCTCACTCAGGCTCTTTGCAGCAGCTTTTCCATTTGAATGGCCTGTCCTGCCTCAGGCTTCAGACTTTTCTAAAAATCTCTCAAACAAGCAGCACTTGGCATCAGCATGCCTCATACCTATCAGTAAGAGGCTCCAGGCTCAGCACTAGCAGCAGCCTGCCTTGCTTCACAGCTTGGCCTTTCCTTGGCACTTCCAAGCCCAACACAGCCATCTTCAGATTGCTCTGTAGCTCCTGACGGGTGGCCCCAGACAGGGCACAGGCAGTGGTTGACTTTGTACCTCCAGGGGAGGTGGGGAGGGCACCAGAGCTAGTGTACCCAGTGGACAGCTTCAGACCACCACACCAGGTAACAACTCTACACATTCACAAGCAACACACTCAAGAGGAAGATTCAGTGAGCTCCAAAACTCCAGTGAGGATTCCTCCTTCTTACTAAGTCCCGATCCAAAGCAGAAATGGACAGAGACCCCGATTCCAGTTCTAGAAGCAGCTGCCCCTGAGCCATCTCTGCTTCCTGCCAGGTTAGGCTGCTTGGGCAGGTGGAGGGAAGTGGGGAGGGGCAGTGAGGGTCTGGAGTGGCAGAGCTTCAGGAGAGCCACATGCGGCCCTCCCTAGGGGGGGGAGGGGGAGAGCCTGGGAGAGCTTGGCCAGGGCAGGGGCTGACAGCTCAGGAAGGGGTGGGAGAGAGACATGGTGATCAGGCACTGCTGCCTTCCCTGCCATTTATTTGAATCGCTTTCCTTGTGGAGAATGAGGTCAGAGGCCCTCCGTCACCCCCTCATAGTGGCCTTAGTGACCCCTAGTCTTCAGACTCCCAAGATGCAAAGAGGGTTTCAGGAGATTTGTCAGAGGAAGAGGGTAAGAGAGTGAGAAACAAATGTGGAGCAATCCTCAAAGCTGGGACACTTTAGGTAGACACCGGGGCTAAACTATTTGGCTTCTGAGACAGGTGTGCAAAGGACCCGACCCATCCTTCCAGGGGGCCCTGTGAGCGAGGCAGCCAGCCGTGGGGCCCTGGGGGCAGACAGAGTGGACCCCAAGGGCCCTGCGAACCCAGCATAAGCCCCATTCTGGCAACACCCAGAACAAAGGTTCTCAAAATACTGAGACACAGAGCAGCTCCATCAGAATCATCTGGCAGCGTTCGTGACGACAGCAACCTTTCCACCCGCCGCCCACGGTTCCACCTCAGGTGCCAGAGGTTGCATTTGGGTCTAAAAAGCACGGTCCAGTCCTCCTGGGCCTGCGAACACCGCTGTGCACCTGGGGCCTGATGGAACACGAGAGGCCTCAGAAACCTGCCACCTGACCCCTCTGTAATCCCTCTCCCCAGACCACGGAGCCCGCCTGCCCAGGAGCACCACAGCCCCGGGGGGAGCCGCAGCGGTGGGGATGGTGGGGGCGTGTGTTCTGCCATCCTGCTGAGAGCTGAGCGCTTTCCGGTGCCCCGTGCTTCGTGCGCACGTTGGTGGTGTGGCTTCCTGTCTCTGACTCTCTGTTTCCATTCCAGCCAAGTGTTTGCTCTCTCCTCTCTGCTCTGGGGGCTGGGGAAGATGCGCCTCTCGCAGAGCCTCTCTTGGCCTCCTGGCAGCTCCCCCCTCAGTGCCCCTCACCCCCCCACCAGCAGGCAGAGACTGTGCTTCGGCCTGCACTGCCCCTCAGGGAGCCCCACGCCCAGATGAGCTCTGCCCTCCTGCAGTGGGCAGGGTAGGTGCATCCAGGTAGAACCGAACCTGGGGTCAACTCAGCCTGACATTTTAGGCGCAGACACCAAGTAAGGAGTTGGGGGGGGAGGGGGCGTGGGGGGGGGCGGGTTTGAAAGATTGGAACTTTAAAAAACCAAATGACTTCCTCCTTCCACACACCCCCCACCCCCGCACAGGATTATATGTAAAATACAAACTAATTTTGCCTTTTCTCGTGGGAGTCAGCCACCCGGGAAAAGTGGCCCTTATGCCTGCAGCTGACTTTGATTGGGAGGAGGCTTAGGAGGAGAAGCGGAAGCCAGAGATTCGTGTGGACCATGGATGTCATCACCCCGGCCCTTTCAGAACCCCTTTCAGAACTCGGAGGGGGGACTTCAGAGCCCAGTGTTACTCTGCAGGTAACGCTCAGCAGGCTGGACAGGTGAGTGGCTCAGGGTGGAGAGCTTCCCCCTTCCCCGAATTCCCGAGGGCCCTGGTCTACCCCGGGGGCTTCCACCCGGCAGCTGCCTCCCCTTCCAACCAGGCTCAGGCCCACGGAGACCACCAAACTGGAGGCTCAGAGAAGCTCGCTCTGGGAGGAAACGGGTGGGTGCTGAGAAAATCTGTGATCACGCAGGGTTTTCTGAGCGCGAGCTGCCTGGCCTGGTTGAGTTTCCCACCTCTCCGTGGCTTTGACTGCTGTCCTCAGTCTTTCCTGTCTCAAGTCCCACCTCAAACATGTGGCCCATTTCTGGCCAAGTTAGCTTCTCAAACAAGCACTAGGTCCCACCATGAAAAAAATCAAAAGGCTCCCTTTTCTCAAAGATCCTAAAAACTTGCCATGAATGAAAAAAGTAATCGCAGGTATGATAAACATATGCTTTAGGTCATAAAGTCTCACTGAATTAATGGCAAATCTCAATTGGATGCTCACTCGTTACTTTCCTAACAAAAATAAAGTCCGTCAGCAGCTGGAACTTTAGCAATACTGGTAGGTATAAATTTCAGTGCTGTGATAACAGTACAACACAACAATAATGAGCTTTAAATCTCTGTAGTTTGGGGGGAAATAAAAGCTTTTACCCTGACAAACACATGTCACTTGCAGATGGAGGGGGCCATTGATGGGGAATGAATTCATAACATCAGAACCCTGGACTCCCCACCCCACCCCTGATTTCCGTATTCATCCATTTGTTTATTAATTCGCTCCTTCCTTCATTTAACAAATATTTCTCAGGCCCTTACAGTCCCAGGCACCAGGTGAACACGATAGACAAGTACTTGGCCTCCTGGAGCTTAGGGTCAAGTGGGAGAGTCAAATACTTTTTTTAAAAAACAGACGAACATATAATAATGTCAGTCATAAACCCTCTGAAGGAAAACCAGAGCAGGGTAAGGGGACTGCCGGTGGTATGGTGTGGCCAGGGAAGACCTGTATGAGTAGGTGACCTCTCAGAAGAGACCTGAGTTAAATGAGGGGCTGAGCCATGCGGGCCGGTGGGAGAGAGAGCAGAGGTCTGAGACAGGACCGTGCTTGGCCTGGGCGAGGAGCACAGGGAGTCCTGGCTGGCAGCGTCAGAGGGGAAGTGGGAGGTAATGAGGCCAGGAGGTAGGAAGAGGCCAGAACATAAATGCCATCAAGTCCTCCCGGGAGGTGGGACTGTGGGTGTTATCCTATGTGTGATGGGAAGTCCTGGAGGGTTGCAAGCAGAAGAGGGCTCAACTTGACTTACTGTTGCAACCCGACCACTGGGATAGGGGCTTAATCACAAGGAACAATAACAGCCTGTAATTATTGGAATTGAGAGTCTAGGTCAGTGGTCGGCAAACTCATTAGTCAACAGAGAGGCAAACCGTGGCTCTCGAGCCACATGTGGCTCGGGAGCCGCAGTTTGCTGACCACTGGTTTGGGGGGAGGGGGGTGTAAAGATGGTATGTTGGGCCCTAAGCGATTTGGCTCAGTGGATAGAGCGTCGGCCTGCGGACTCAAGGGTCCCAGGTTTGATTCCGGTCAAGGGCATGTACTTTTGTAACAGGCACATCCCCAATAGGGGGTGTGCAGGAGGCAGTTGATTGATGTTTCTCTCTCGTCGATGTTTCTAACTCTCTCTCCCTTCCTCTATGTAAAAAATCAATAAAGTATATTTTTTTTAAATAAAAATAAAATAAAGATGGTATGTTGGGGCTAAGAGTGAAAGAAAGAAACCCATTAGGAAGGTTATTGCAAAGGTCTGTGTGGAGCACACCGTGGCCTAGGTCGGGTGGAGGCAGAGGAGGAGTGAGAGGTAGCTGCATTTGGAATTGATGCCCAGGGTTGAGCAACAGAATCTGCTGGTTCACTAGGAGTAGGACATGAAAGAAAGAGAGCAGCCAGGGGTGAGTTTGATGGAGCCATTAGATGATGGGAAATACAGAGGAGGAGCAGACGGATGGGGGAGAACGGGAGTTCGGTTTCAGACAGACTTGGTTGAGATAGGTTAGGCAGCCTAGTGGAAATAGCCAGTATAAAGCTAGATAAAACGAGCCTAGAGCCCAAGACAAAAGCCTTCCCTAACAGATGACCTGGTTTCTAATAGGTCAGCTAGCGACTCCTGTAGCCTCAACGGGCTGCTTGCTGTTACAACAGCAACCAGCAGCAGCAGCTCCACCCCATCCCTGCAGGGGAATTGCAGCTGGCGGTTGTGTTGGTTCAATTCCACAGAACAGAGTGTTGCTTGGAGACCAGCTCCACACGTTGATGCTGTGAAGGTTATTCCAGTGCACACAAGCTGGCCCCTGTCACAGAGCCGCTCCCTGTCAGTTGGGTAATCCTTTGCTCCTGGAAAGGCAGAAAGCCCGGGAGCGGCAACAAGGGGACACAAGGACAGAGGAGCTTGCCTTTGCAAGTTTGGAGGCCAATGTGATGCAGTGGGAAGAGTGTGATCTTGGGGCCCAAATGGACCTTGACTCACTTTCCATCTTTGATCCTTCCTATCTGAGTAATCTGTGATATCTTTCTGAGCCTCTATATTTCCCTCTCTTCCTTCCTCTATCAAATCAATAAAAATATTTTTTAAAAAATTAAGGCCCTAATTGGTTTGGCTCAGTGAATACAGCATCAGCCTGCAGACCGAAGGGTCCCAAGTTCAATTCCAGTCAAGGGCATATACCTTAGTTGTGAGCACATCCCCAGTAGAGGGTGTGCAGGAGGCAGCTGATCAATGTTTCTCTCTCATTGATGTTTTTCTCTATCCCTCTCTCTTCCACTCTGTAAGAAATGCAATAAAATTTTTATAAAAAATTAAGTAAAAAATATTACTCGATCCACACTGGGGATCCAGCCTGCAACCTGGGCATGTGCCCTGACCAGGAATCGAACTGTGACTTCCTGGTTCATAGGTCAACACTCAACCACTGGGCCATATCAGCCGGGCAAAACCTCAGGTTTCTTAGTCACAAAGAGAGGTAGGGTTGTTGCAAAGATTAAATAAGTTTCAGGGGACCAGGTGGAGAGGAGCTATGGGGGAGAGGGGAGGAAGGAGAAACAATTATAATAATATGAACAATAAAGATTTATTTTAAAAAAAAATAAGTTTCATATGCAAACCCCTGGCATCCAGTGAGCATTCACATGGGACAGTTCCTTCTGCGTCCACAAGGAGATGACCCTCTCCCACCACACAGCCCACCCAACTCGGCCTTCCTCCGCCGGGCTCCCCTTCCTGAGGGAAGCATCTTCTCCAGCCTCCCTGCCCGGCTGGGGCATGGCACTCCGTTTCCTTGCAGAGATAAGGACCAGAGCAGCAGCATCTTTGCTGGGGTGGCGGGACTCCTTGCCATCCTCCTGGTCATCGCGGTTCTCTGCATCCTGTGGAACTGGAGAGCACGGAAGAAGCGTGAGTCCCCTGCTTGTCCAAAGTTGAGGCACACGAGGGCCAATCATCTAGCCTGGCATTTGAAGCCCGGTTTACTCTCCAGGGGTAAACTCTTTCCACAAGGAGTCCTTATCGGACATCTGGTCCTTGCCTCCCTCGGGGTCCTAGGCTGTGGGTCCAAAAGGCTTAGTGCTGATCGGAGAGATTGGAGATCCGGCTGGAAAGTCACTGCTCTCCTACCCCAGAACCCTGTTTTCTCTCCCTGCTTGTCAATGGAGTCCCTCATCCTTGTAACTCAAATGACATTTGTCAAGTCGGACGGGTATTTTTTATGATGCAGGGGAGGGTGGGCCATCTCATACCCAGGGTCCCCCTTCTGTGTCGTTGCCCTGCAGGGCGGGTTCCTTACCTGCGAGTCACCACGGTGCCCTTGCTAACTCTGCCTCAGTCCAGACAAAGAGCCAAAAATATTTATGACCTCGTGCCCCGGAGGCAAGGAGTGCTAGGTAAGTATTTCCTTGTAATCCATGGAGTCCAGACCTGCACCACGTCTGCCCCCAGAATGCACCTCTCACCACCCGGAAGCAACTTCCTCCAAGCTTCCAGCAGTGGGAAGAGTAGGATCTTTGGGTCTAAACAGACCTTGACTCACATGCTAGGTTTGGGGTGTTGATTCTTCCTGATGTGAAGGTAGCAGAGGACAGATGGGTGTGTTTAGGGATGGGGAAGACCTTCTAAAAAATGAAGACCATGGCCACCAGCATTCCAGGCAGGGAGGGGTCACACCAGGTGCTTCCTTCCCGGCCTCCCGCCCCTGGGCTGGTGTTCTCTGGTGCCCCCCACACTGAGGAGGGCCTCAGGCCTCAGGGTGCATCATCCTTACAGCTCTGACCCTCTCGCCACAGAACACCAGCCCCCAGATCCCAGGCCCCACACAGACCCGCTTCCCCCAGATGCTGGAAGCGTGCAGGCTGACGACAGGACTGGCCTCGGCATCAACTTTGTCCTCTGTCCTTCCAGGGAGACATCAGTCAAGGAGTTTCCGCGTATTCAGTATCGAGAGCCTCCTCTCCAGAAACTCTGACAGCCCTCCCTCCGCACACGTGGTAAGTCACATGGGATGGCCCGGCCCTTGGGAGAAATTGCCTGTCTCTGGCACAAGGACGGAGGAGAAAGGACTCTAGGTCCCAGGTGTTGTGCCCCTGCATACGAACCCTGGCAGCCCTATTGGTAGATCAGGAAGACTAACCTCAGGACCTCCTGCTGCCCAAGGAGGAAAATTCAGAAAAATGAGCAAGTGCTTGGGATTTTCAGGGCATGAGTCCTCCAGGGCCTGATGTTAGAACTGCAATGGGTTGTTTGAACAGACATGATCACATGCTTATTCAAATGAGTGTGGTCCTTTGCAAAGCAATTGTCTCAGGAGGGTCACAGATAGTCCCCATTGCTGTTGGTGCTGAACACAGACTTAAACCCTGCTTTAGGGATTACTTCTGGAGCTCCTTTCAAATTATTTCAATGATCCCCACCAGCAGAAACAGTCATCAATCACTTAGAACCATAGCTAGTTTCAAAAAGTGTTTGACCAAATGGGAGCTAGCCTTGGAGGTTACAAGAAATGTATTACAATCAGTAACAGTAACCCCATGTGGCTTACGCTGTGGCTGAGGGGAGCTCCCGCATGGTGTGGGGCAGAGGCAGGGACAGTGGAGGGACTGATTCGAAAACCAGGATGCCAATTCCCACAGAGAAGTTCTGTTTGCTTGTTGAAGAGTCCGTCTCGTTGGTGTTATGGTCATCTCGAGTAAATGCAGTCTTGCTGCTGATGGTGTTCCTGTCGGTACCCAGCCTCTCTTTACCCTGCGGCTGCCTCCTTGTCACTGCCTGTGCTCCCTCCTCCTCCTGCAAGGCCCATGCTGGACTCCCTTGACAGGGCAGGGAGGAGAAAACGCCATTGCCAAAGCTAGTTCCAGGGCATGGGTGGGTCCTGGCAGGATTCTGCATCCAGAGCTTAGACCCCAAACTGACTTCAGCCCACACATATGGTCAGCTTGGGCTCTGTAGTGTTTGAAGAACATTTAAGCCAGTTGCCAACATTTAAAAATCTAAAAGATCTCACATGCAAGCCCAGATGTCCAGCTTTTCTCGAAAACTCGGAAGTTCTGGAAACATCAGACCAGCATTCCTAAATGGCCATAATCAGCTGAGTTTGTGCCAGCTACCCCTTAAACCCCTTTGGTAATAATGGCAAGCATTCTAGTGTCTTCTGTGTGCCAGGAGCAATTCTAAACACGTCACATGTAGCAACCCATTTACTTCTCACAGAAACCTTATAATACACACTGAGTGGCCAGATTATTATGATCTCTGAACGCATAATAATCTGGCCACTCAGTGTGTGTGTGTGTGTGTGTGTGTGTGTGTGTGTGTGTGTGTGTGAAGCCTGGTGCATGAATTTATGCATGGGTGGGGTCTGGCCAGCCTGGCCAAAGGGAGGGGACATGGGTGGTTGGCCAGCCTGCCTGCTCATCAAACTCCTGGTTGAGGGGACAATTTGCATATTAGCCTTTTATTATATAGGATATACACAGTTGATTATGTGTTCAGAGATCATAATAATCTGGCCACTCAGTGTAGATACTATAGTCATCCCCACTTTATTACTTAGGAAAGTAAGGCATAAAGAGAGGAGGTAACTTGCTCAAGTGGGGCTAGCCTTTCAGGTTGCAAGGAGAGTATGCTGAGGGGTGAGGCTAGGGTCTGCACCCTCAGTCTGAGCCTGTCTCCACCTTTAGCCACTAGGCTATATTGCCCCTCAATGTACCCTGAGCTGGCAGGCTCTGTCCCGTTTATAGTATTTCCTCCACTCCCCATCGAACCCCCACGTTGTGGCCAAAGTACAGTTACTGTTTATCGTCACATTGCATTGTTGCTTTCCCTAAGCTCAGCCCGTTTTGCTCATGCCTACCTAGCATCCAACATCTCTGTATCTGATTCAGAACTGTTCTCTGAGGTGGAGAACGGGGTGCAGGAACGATCTGGTAAGAGTACCGGGTGGGGAAGAGGAAAGACTTCGTCCCCGTCTCTGCTTCCGTCCTGTCACTGGCTTTCTCTTTTTGCGCGCAGACCTCCTGGGCCGGCCATGCCCTCCAGGTGCACGGAGCCCAGGCTCACTCCGTAGGTATCTATGACAACACCGCGGGGCCCCGGATGTATGAGAACCTCACTCCCTCCGTGCACTCCGTCAACGTCAGAGCAGCTGGAGACCACCCGAGCATTTCCTCAGAGGACTCCCGGGACTATGTCAATGTCCCCCCGGCAGCGGAGATTGATGAGAGGCTGGCTTCTACCCACCACCCCCCTGGGCACCGCTTTGTCCTCCCAGGTGCTCAGGAGCTGGGATTTACTGAGGAAAGAGACGAGGGCTGTGCCCATGCCAATGACTACGCCTGGTTTTTGCCTCCAGGAACTGAGAGCAATGACCCACTCAGAGATGAGGAAGGATCTTCTCAGACCTCAAATGACTATGTCAACACGGCAGAGTTGGACCTGGGGGCCACCCAGGGGACGCAGCCCTGGATGCCCTCTCGGTGCTGCCGAGATTATGAAAATGTCCTTCCAGCAGATCCCAATAGAAGCCAGCAGTCGGTGGGAGAAGGGACAGCCTCACACACAAACCATGTGGAGGGCAGGGCAGGGGGTATAGAGACTCCTGTCCACCTTGTCATGCCATCAGGGAGGTTCCTGGCTTCTGGGGATTATGGGACCTATCAGCCATCTGCACAGAGTGAGAGCAGGCAGATGGAACGTGGAGGAGAGATGTCAAACGAGGGCTCCAATGATGATGACGTTGTGCTGGCTGCCACATCAGGGGGCAGCGATGCTGAGCAGGAACAAGACACGTGGCTCTTCCTGAGGAATTAAAGCCTCGTCACCCAGCTGGAAAGCCACATGTACTAGTCTCTCCTGCCACGTCCAAGTGAAGATCCTTGACCATCCTGCATTTCAGTGGATTTATCTGGTTAGACTACAAAGAGGCTGAGATGCATGGGGATCTAAGAGGTTTACAGAAGCAGAGGTTTGGGAAAGCCAGAAAGAAATTCTTTTCAAACAGGCCATGATCTCTCATATCAACTTAAGGATGTTTCCTAAACTGCCTTTTAGGACTATTAGGAGATTTAAAAATAAACAAATAAAAAAAAAAAGAGAGTACTTTAGTGCACAGTGGAAATATAAAGTAGTCTAAAATCATTACCTTCGTGCCCAGCTGGTTTGGCTCAGTGGATAGATCGTCAGGCTGGGGTCTGAAAGGTCCTACGTTCGAATCTACTCAAGGGTACATGCCTGGGTTTCCTGCTCAATTCCCAGTAGGGGGCAGTTGATCAATGATTCTCTCTCTTTGTTTCTATCTCTTTGTTTCTATCTTTCTCTCCCTTCCTCTTTGAAATCAATAGAAATGTATTTTTAAAATAAAATCATTACTTTTGCTAATACCAGCAGACTGCAAAGCAAAAATTCAGACTATTTTGTAAAATGAGCAGGGGCCAACAGGGAGGGAGAAGCCAGAGTAGGAGTAGGGGACCGTTTCCACTTTAAAATGAGGATGGACAACCAATGCTGGAGATGTAGGATGACAGGAACTCTTACTCACTGCTGATGGGATTGCAAAGCATAACATTCATTTTGGAAAACTATTTGGCAATTTCTTATAAACTACTTCTGTGACCCAGCCTTTCCACTATTAGATATTTACCCAAGTGAATTGAAAACTTGTGTTCAGCCTGGCCAGTGTGGCTCAGAGGTTGAGCATCAGACCAATGAACCAGGAGGTCACAGTTTGATTCTCAGACAGGGAACATATCCCAGTTATGGGCTCGATCCCCAGTTGGGGGCATGTAGGAAGCAGCCAATCAATGTTTCTATCTCTCTATCTCTCCCCCTTCCTCTCTTAAAATCAATAAAATAAAAAATAAAAAAATAAAAACTTTTAAATAAAAAATAAAGCTTGTGCCAAGACCGGTTTGGCTCAATGGACAGAGCGTCGGCTTGGGGACTGAAGGGACCCGGGTTCGATTCGGTCAAGGGCATGTACCTTGGTTGTGGGCATATCCCCAGTAGGGGTGTGTAAGAGGCAGCTGATCGATGACTCTCTCTCATTGATGTTTCTAACTCTCTATCTCTCTCACTTCCTCTCTGTACAAAATCAATAAAATATATTTAAAAAAATAAAATAAAATAAAAAATAAAGCTTGTGTTCACACACACACACACAAAACAAAAACAAAAACAAAAACAAAAACAAAAAAAACACATACATAACTGTTTACAGCAGCTTTATTCCCATTTGCCCCAAACTAGAAATAACCCAGGTATCCCGAAACAAGTGAATGGATAAATTGTGGTTCACCAAACAGAAGCTCTTTGAATACTGCCCTTATGGGCATTATAGAGACTTTATTACATAAGCATGATTAATTAAATCATTGGCTATTGGCAATAGATTGGACATCTAGCCCCTCTTTCCTCCCTGGAGTTCAGGGCGGGTGGGACTAAAAGTTGCAACCCTCTAATCACATGGTTGGTTCTCTGACAATTGCTCCCTTCTTTAGGTGTGATCCAAAAGTCACTATTAAGGCCTGGCTAGTTTGGTTCAGTGGTTAGAACATTAGCCTTTGGACTGATGGGTCCCAAGTTCAATTCCAGTGAAGGGCACATACCATGGTTGCAGGTTCAATTCCTGGGCCCCCATCAGTGTGTGTGTGTAGGAGGCAACCAATCAATGTGTCTCTCTTATATCAATGTTCCACTCTCTCCCAGTTCTCTAAAAATCAATGCAGAAATATCCTCTGGTGAGAATTAACAACAACAAAAAATCAAGTTACTTTAACATAACAAAAGGTGCCTTTGTCATTCTCATCGCTTAGACAATTCCAAGTATTTTAGGAGCAAACTCCAAATATATACTTATTATAAATCACAGTGTCACATGAGTAAAAACTGATATTTTGTGCAGTCTTTCCACTGTTTTGGTAAGAATAAAATACAATTAATACAATTCATTTGTGTCATTCATGGTAGTTATAGTCTAGAAAGTCACAATAAACACTAAATTAATGAACACACTGACCCACACTGCTCCTAAGGTTCGTCTGAACTTCGGGTCACGTTTTCATTAACTGATCAATACATAACCTTGTTTTATGTGTAGTTTCTGTTTAAAGACACCTTATTTAACATCCATGGTGAACTCATTAGCATTGGCACTCACTATATTATAATACCTGCCTGAATGAGGCTTAGTTAGCACATTCTCTCCACCCTTATTGCCCTTTGAACACTAGACAGCACTTCAGCCCTACATTTGGAGATCATCTGAAACAATGAAATTACCAACAAAAAGCACAAAAATGGAGGCGGGAGGGAACTGCCACTAAATAGACTGCAAAAAAAAGAAAAGAAAAGAAAAAAAAAAGATACTTGTTAACAGTTGGAAAGCTGAAATGAGAAAGCAGAATTTTTCCCTGTTCAGTCTCAGGTGCGGGAACGTGCATGTGCCCATTGGAAATGTTCCCGCTCTGCACCTGGGCGTGTCCCTGAATGACCAAAAGTGCTCAGAGTATTGATCTTGAGGTTACAAAATGAATTTTAGCAAGTAGGTAAATTTGCAAACACAAGAATCTACAAATAATAAGGATCGACTGTATGAATGTACCCGCTACAAAATAAATATTGTGTCGTTTTGGTGGTTCTACATATGAGTTAAATGCTGATATATATTTGCATCTAAACTGGCATTGTGCAAGATAAAGATGAATGGTAAAATGCATGTTGATAAATTAAAATTCTAACTGTTCTGTATTTAGAATGGCATTAAATAGTAAGGGATGCCATGAGACATTAAGAAGAAAGGGAAAAGCTTTTATCCTGGATACTAATCACACTGCAAAGACTTTGTTACCTTGTAAGGTAACATATTCACAGGTTCCAGGGATTAAGACATGAAGATACGCGGAAGGGGGGGTGGCGTTATTTTGTCTCCCACAAATATATAACAGATTGCTACCTCTGATGATAGTTGACTCAAGCTTGTATCAGAGGAGTGGCGCTCAGAGGGGCCAATCGAAAGCTCACGTCTAGTCACCCCGGCAACAGCTCCTCCCACTCCCCACCCACAGGAAATAGGTCCCGGCATCCCACCGCCCGGGATGGGCAAACTGAGAGCCCGTGAGTTTCGGGCCCGTTTGGACTTTCACACTCAGAGAGGACAGCAAAGGCGGCAGCAACGGAACCTGCCACGCCGTGGTCTAGGCATCCAGGTTTGGCAGGATCCTGGCAACTTTACTATAATGCAATGGCTTGGATGCGAAGCCACTAGAACACCTATGAGGACGCCGGGGAGTCTTATTTATTTTCTTCTTTTTTTAAAAAAACAAACATATTCTATTGATTTCTTTTATAGAGAGGAAGAGAGAAGCTTGAATGCGTATCCACAAGAACGCCTATGGGGACGCCTGGGAGTCTTATTTATTTTCTTCTTTTTAAAAAAAATATATATATTCTATTGATTTTTTATAGAGAGGAAGAGAGAGAGATAGAGAGTTAGAAACGTCGAGGAGAAAGAATCATCCATCAACCGCCTCTTGCACACACCCCCACTGGATACATGCCCTCCACCGGAATCGAACCCAGGTCCTTTCAGTCCACAGGCCGATGCTCTATCTTGGCTCAGTGGATAGAGCGCTCGTGCGGAGAAAGGTGGGCCTCCTCGGCCCTCTGTGACCATCACTTGGCCTCCCAGGACTCCCGCTGAGGCTGTTCCCATCCTCCGAGGTCTGGGCAGCATCCTCAGGACCGCACAGGCGGAGGCCGCGCTGGGACCCCAGAGGAGGAGGGAGACCGGCTCCGGATGATGGGGTGGAGGACGGCCTGAGCCACCCGGAGGTCACGGAAGAGCTTCGCCTGTGTTTTGCGGAGCCCGAGAGGCACAGGGAAGAGCCGCGGTGGCGGCGGCGGCTGGACGCGCAGCGCCAGGAGGACCACGTGAAGCCGACCGTGACCTGGGTTACCGGACGCGCCGCCCCAAGATGGACCTCCTCCATCCGAGAGCCTCCGAGAGCCCCCGCGAGCCGCGCCGGGCCCGGAGGAAGCGCTTGTCCTGGGGCTGCGCCGCCGAGATCCCGGCCGTGGAGGCAGCCGTGCAGCCGAGCTCTGACAAGCACTTTGCCGGAAAGCTGCGCCAATACTGGCCGGTCTTTCGCTGCGGTGCTGAGTCCTGGGTTCCCAGCTATCATGCCCTTCCTCTGAGATTTGCTCCTTCATCTGCTTCTATGCATTTTCTCAGGGAAAGGGGACTTTGTCCTGAGAAATCAGCATGTTCACCAGAGTGCCAGTGGGCTGGGGTGGGGAGGGGGCGGTAATGTATCGATAATATGTCAGCCTTTTTTATGCAGCAGGGTGTGCACTGTTGCCTGCCTGAGAGATTTTCCTTTGACATAAAGTGATCATTTCATATGCATTTAAAAAAAATCAAATTAGTAAAAAGATATGTGCACACACAGGCACACACAAACATCTGGGTTTCAAAAGAAGAAGAATGCTGCTAGGCCTGACACATTTGCTGTTTTCCTGGTACACTGATTTAGATTGCGTACCAGATACGGTATTAATTTAAGGGAGTCCCAGCAAACATCAAAGTAGAACACAGAGCCGAAATCGGTTTGGTTCAGTGGCTAGAGCTACAGCCTGCGGACTGAAGGGTCCCAGGTTAGATTCTGGTCAAGGGCATGTACCTTGGTTGCAGGCACATCCCAGTAGGGGGTGTGCAGAAGGCAGCTGATCGATGTTTCTCTCTCATCAATGTTTCTAACTCTCTATCCCTCTCCATTCCTCTCTGTAAAAAGTCAATAAAAAATATATTTTTTAAATATAGTCTTATAGGAGATCCCTTGTAGGTAACTAACTGCTTTTCTCTTGCTGCTTTTAAGATTCTCTCTTTGTCTTTAACCATTGGCATTTTAATTATCATGTGTCTTGGTATGGGTTCATCTTGTTTGGGATGAACCCATATCTGTACTTCCTGGACTTGTATGTCTATTTCCTTCACCAAATTAGGGAAGTTTTCTGTCATTTTTTCAAATAGGTTTTCAATTTCTTGCTCTCTCTTTTCGCCTTCCAACAGCCCCATGATGTGAATATTGGTATGCATGAAATTGTCCCAGAGGCTCCTTAAACTATCCTCATTTTTTTTTAATTTTTTTTTTTTCTATTCTGATTGGGTGTTTTCTGCTTCCTTATCTTTCAAACCTCTGATTGGATCCTCTGCTTCACCTACTTCATTGTTGATTCCATGTAATATATTCTTCTTTCCATTTCATGTATCTTCCATTTCTAACTGGTTCCTTTTTATGTTACCTAGTTCTGATTTTATGTTCCCTATCTCTGTTGAAGTTCTCACTAAGCTAATCTACTCTTCCCCTAAGTTCATTGAGCATCTTTATAAGCAGTGTTTTGAGCTCTTTATCTAGTAGATTGCTTGTCTCCATTTTGTTTAGTTCTTTCTCTGGAGTTCTGCTGTGTTCTTTCATTTGGGTCATGTTTCTTTGTCTCCTCATTTGGCAGCCTCCCTATGTTTGTTTCTGTGTATTAGGTAGGGCTTCTAGAAGGCTTGATAGAGTGGCCTTATGAAGTAAGTGTTCTGTAGGGCACAGTGGCACAGCCTTCCTGATTACCCAAGCTAGGCACTCAAGGTGCATACTGCCATGTGGGCTGTGTACACCCTCTGGTTGTAGTTGAACCTTTATTGCTGTTGGTACATCAATGGGAGGTATTTACCCTCAGGCCGATCAGCTACAAGGACTGGCTAAGATAGAATTTTGTCCTTGAACCATGGAAGGAATAGTTTAAAGAAATAGAATATGGTGAATAAGGGCCAATGATTGCATCGTGATTTGGAGTTGGGCAGATCTGGGTGTGAATCCTGACTTTGCCACTTACAACAATGACATCTTAGACACATCACTAGAACTTTGTAATAATTTCTAAAAAGAGATCAATAATATTATCTAATAGTGTTATTGTAAGGATTCCATTGGATATTTTATTATGTGCCAGCACAAAAACCTGGCACATACCCGTAATAAAGTATCAATAAATGCTTGTTAATAAGAGGGAAATATGTGCTAAAAAGAATCCATCTAACTTAAAACTAATGCATCTACTAACATAATTTTAGAGAAGCCATGAGATATAATTCCAAATGAAATATATTGAAGAGTTCCTGAGAGGTGGGAAAATAGTCAAGGAACTTGGCAATGAAGGTAAGTTGGGAAATTAGATGTGCCAGAGGGAAATAAGAAATTGAGGGTAATGCTCCCCCACCCAACTTTTTTAAAAAATCAATTATGTTACCAGGCTTTGGGAAATAATCTGAGAGAAAGTTAAAACTACAAGAGACAAAGGAGATAATGGGTAGATCAAGAAGGGACCACTCTTTGCTGTTTCCATTGACTCTTCACTATGGTCACTCCTGCCCATCACTACCTCTAGTTCAGCCTTTCTGAAACAACTTTGCAAATATCACATCCTCTACTTTTTCTGTTTCAAAACCTTCAATAGGAATTCCTTAGTCCCTAGAACATTATTCGAATGCCTTCCCAATATTCAAGGCCCTCCACAATCTTGCTCCAACCTACTTTTACAAAGTTTACTCTTTCCATAAACTGTGGACTTTTCTGTCATTGAATTTCTCTCCTTACTAGGTTAGGGGCCTCCCTAACATAGCTTCTTTCCTTGTCTTCACCTACCCTTCCACCTCTGTCCTACTTAATGTCAGTTTAAGTCTCCCTCCCTTCAAAAAGCATTTCCTGAAACTGTGCTTACCAATGACTGCCTCTTCCTTTCTAACTCTCCTGGACCTAAAGTGTAAGTTATAAACCAGCCTATAAAGTGAATTTTTTTTTTTTACTTTGTTTTGAGTGAGCTTCCAAATGTACAAATCAGAAATTTTCACATTTAAAAAACTGAATTTCGCCGAAGCCGGTTTGGCTCAGTGGTAGAGTGTCGGTCTGCGGACTGAAAGGTCCCAGGTTCCATTCCGGTCAAGGACACGTGCCTTGGTTGCGGGCACATCCCCGGTAGGGGGTGTGCAAGAGGCAGCTGGTCGATGTTTCTCTTTCATCAACATTTCTAGCTCTCTATCTCTCTCCCTTCCTCTCTGTAAAAAATCAATAAAATATATTTTTTTAAAAACTGAATTTCCAGCTTCTCTTGGAAAATTGGAAATATATTAACACTGGTTCTATATTCCCTCCTGCCAAGAATGAGTTGAAGTTGAATGGTAACAGCTGGCTCTTTTAAGCTAGGGCATGCACTCAAGTTTTATTCTTATACCTGGCTCACCATACTTACCATGTATACAGGTGCCTGGCTTGTGTAAGCATTTGTTAGTAACGCCAGGTCCAAACTATGGATGAACACTTGGTGTACACTAGCTGATAGTTATTTATCTTTATATTTATCATGTCTTCCAGAAAAGTTCCACATATCATACCTACTTGGGATCCCCACAATGCCTAGCAACAATACCTAAACATAAGAGACTACTTAGTGTCAGGTAAATGATGATGTTGATAATGAAAACTTAGTTTGCCTTTTCTTAACTAACCCACCACCTAACAAAACTACAGTTTTGTATGAGGAAATTAAACAGCCTAAGAAAGCATTGACAGTAGAGAGGCAGTACTAGGAAGGTTGACTTGAGAGATAGCAGCTAGATTAAGAAGTTTGAAATTTATCCATTGTGGTTAGTAGGTATTTGTGTCTCTCATCCCAAGCTTCTTGCTGGAAGAATCTGTTGGTCTCTATTTCCTCACTCATGTAGGACAGCTGAGACCAAAGGGCAGAAAGAAGAAGTGAAAGGATGATGGATAGTGGTAATGGACACTAAGTTGGAGGATGAACTATTTGTATGGAAGTTATTTTTCACTCTGTTTTCTAATGTGAAAAGGTACAAACTGAGGCTACTCCAAACCTGTGGGATCCACAGAGTTGACTAGAGTTTCAGGGAGAAGGATAGGTCAGGATTGGAATCCAGATCATATGACTCCACAGTCAGTCAACACGAAGAGAGGCGGATTTACCATGAAGCTAATGGAGCTTAACTTCTAGGGCCCGTTTCTTATAGAAGCCTTCTTTGATACTCTGGGTAGGACTACTCTAGTAATGTGTTCATGTGGTCATAAAATTTGCAAAAGTAAGGTCTTTTAATAGAAAATGCTTAAAAGACATGTGTTTTCTTATTTGTTTTGTATTGTTTTTTCACACAGATTCTAATAACTTCCCTTTGTTGGGCATTTTAAAAAATATATATATTGTATTTTATTGATTTTTTACAGAGAGGAAGGGAGAGAGATAGAGAGTTAGAAACATTGATGAGAGAGAAACATTGATTAGCTGCCTTCTGCACAACCCCCACTGGGGATGTGCCTGAAACCAAGGTACTGCCCTTGACCAGAATCAAACCTGGGACCTTTCAGTCCGCAGGCTGATGCTCTATCCACTGAGCCAAATCGGTTTTGGCTGTTGGGTATTTTTGAGATCTGGCTAAGAGAAAGATGAGTTGGGGTACAATTATTTTGGGTTTTATTTATGTGATTTACAGTCATTTTTATGAGAGTTGCTATTGCTAGATATGCAAGGATAAAAATGGCTTTCAAAAATACCCCTGTTACCTACTGGGTGGACTCATCTGGCATTATGACCCAAAGCTGTAGGGCCAGAGGTCATACCTTGATATAAGTGGCATGTAGATTGTGGAGCTTGCTTATTAGGTCTGGTTGACATGGCAACCACAGAGTATTAAGGCTCTGAGTCTAGGATTGTAACGTGATTTCTTACTTTGGAAGAAGATAAAAGCCCGAGCCTGAGGAGACTCAGGGCCCAGTTGTGGGCTGGCTGGACTCCTTCACCAAGTTGGTATCTGGCAGAAGCAGCCCAGGAGGAAATAAAAGGTGCCTGAATCCCATCTGCTTTACCATCAAGTGTATCCTTTCTTAGTAGCATAACTGTGTCCTCTGGAGTTCAGTAAATGTAGCCACCTAAGCAAGTTCTGCTGAACTTCTAACCCAGGAAGCATTTTAGGCACCTAATTTACCAGTAATATATTTAAGTATATTTTAAGACTATAAAAAAAGAGAAAATATATGCTAAATTAATGAGATTATTTCTCAGGAATGAGATTAATAGACTTAAACTTTCTAATCCATTTATCTGTATTATTTACATTTTACAAAACACACTCATATGTATTACTTTTATAACTGGAGGAAAAAAGGTAAAAACATCCAAATGGGAAAATACAAGCTAATGTCAATAATTGAGGAGGCCAAAGCTGATGTTCTTCCTTCTCCCCAAACCCTCATGAGCTTTTTAGGGATTATGACATGTTTTTCCAATACAAAAAAATTATTTTTTATTAGAAAAAACAAACAAAACCTAACTTCACTTCTTCAAATAAAAAAAATAAATGCACAAATCCTTTAAGATTGCATGGGGAAAATAATTTATTTCTAAATTAGATGTCTACACAGCTGGAACCATTTACTATTCATTAAGCAAAAGTTTTTTTGTGTGTGAGAAAAAAACTGAGCGCCTACTGTCTGGTAGACACAGTTCTCGCTTAGTGCCTCATTTGATTTAAAACAAAACAGAAACCGTTTTTATTGTTTTGTTTTTTAAATCAAAGACGGTTTCAATAAATCCGTTAACTCTATAAAACGCGTTCACGGGAAAGGAAGGGCCTGCCTGGCCTGCCGCCCCCTGTCACATGGCCCCGAGGCGGGGTCGCCGTCTTACGTGCTGCCTCATAGAGGAACTACATCTCCCAGAATCCTCGCGGTTGCGTCGCGCTGGCACTTTTAACCGCCCGGTCTCCGAGCGGAGCCTGTAGCCGGGCGCCATCTTTGACGCTGGCAGTCTTGGATTTCTTGCTGGTGTTGCTGCCGTGAGGACGGCGGAGGGCAGCGGCTAAGAGAGAAGAAAGACGTGGCAGCGAGCGGAGGTCGGGGATAGTGCCCTCGGTTCGGTAAAGTTTCTGTTCTCCGGTAACTAAACCCGTTTTTTTTGATTCCCGGGTGGCTCGGGGCCGGGAAGGTTGGGGTGAGGGCGAGGGGAGTGGCCGCGGCCTCCCCTCGCCCCTGGGTCGCGGCCTAGTTAGTCCGGGAAGTCATAGCGGGTCCTTTGGCCCCCGCCGTGTAACGACAGCATCCCCCTGCCCCCACGCCGGCCGCTGCCCTCATCGGGCGGGCGGGGAGCCCCCGGACCCCCTCTGTGCGCAGCCAGCCCACCTCCACCCCCACCGCGCCGGCTCCCTTCCCGGCCGGCCTCCCTCCCCTCCCCCACTTCCGGTGCTGGCGAAATCCGGAGCCCAGAGCGGCTCCTGAGAGCAGCCCCCTTGCTCCTCCACTCCTGGAGCAAGGTTGACTTTAAGATTGCTTTTGGGGAGGGGGGGCCCCCCATCATTTCCCTAGTTCAACGGACCCCCCACTGCTTAAATGAACCTAAGTGCCAGGAGCTGAATTTACCTACTCTCATTCCTCTCCAGGGTCTCACACTACTTTGGAGGTTTTTCTCAAACTCCACATACAGAAAGCCACCGACCTTATTCCGGTATCCGCCACCCCTTCCTTATCTTTAATTATACTCCCGCCCCCCCAGCCCTCAGCATCGGAGTCAAGAGCTACAGGGACACTTCAGTTCTCCTTGTAGGATTGATGAGATCGTAATGAAGAACGCCCCCTAAGCTCCCATAAATCGGTGCGGATTCCTCTTGGGGGAAGGCCCATGTTATTGGCATCTCACAGGCCTTGGTTCTGGACGTTGAGAAGGAGGCTGTGGATATAGTTGATAGCGATGCTTTTTAGGGTAAATGTGTGTAGGTATTGGGGGGAAAAGGGAGGGGTCAACCGAGAAGGAATGGAAGTAGTGTAAAGTTCGTTTTCGTGTTTGTTGCTCATGTAGAGTCCAATCTATGAGTTACTCGTTTACAGGCCAGAAAGCTTCTGCAGTCTAAAAGTGTCTGAAAACTAAACTTGGATTAATTGTAAATAATTGAAAATACATCTTGTGACCTTGATTTTTAATTTTACCCACAAAGCATTTTAGCCACCCACATTTTTAAAAAAAAATTGTATTACTTTTCATTCTTGCTGCGAGGGGTCAACTAGCATTTGTTGTTAATGACCAGTATGTGGAGTCTGATTTAGCATTTCAGAATTGACTTTTTGGGTTGTATTGACAAATCAGTCCTAAATGTCAGTGTTGAATGATGCACTATGTTTTTGTTTAAATTAAACTTCCTGAAAATAATTCATTTCAGGATTAATGTTGCTATTGTGTGAAGCTTCATAAAAACACATTTCTAAAGGTGAAGGCATTTTAAGCAGATAGAGTTCTCGATGAAGCAGAAAGAACATGGGCCTGGGATTTGGAAACCTTGGCTTCTAGCTGCTACTGACCAACTTTATGACTGGGAAAGTGGGCCTCAGTTCTTTTTTCTATAACATGAGTGGATTGGACAATTTGAATCCAGAACTCAGAAAGTTGGAAGGGATCTTAAAGCCCTTTGAGAAAGAGTTTGGGAATGTTCTCCATCGCTGTCACTTTTCCTCCAAAAATAACCTGGCATGGAAGTCATGGGTCCAAAGGGAATTTGATTCCCCATAGAAATTGGAGAACAGGTAATGCAAGTAGAGAGGAACAGCTGTATTTCTTGAGTAATAAACCCACCAACAGATTCTGGTACGAATTTTGGCGGCATAAAGAGAATGAATGTATGTACCCTAAGTGTACCAGTTTCCTCGCTCTCTGCTGGCGGAAGATGCAGCACGTTTAGTAGTGCTGGAATTCTGGGATGTGTTCCTATTCATTCTAATACAGATAAAGAAGATGTGGTAGAGAGAAAGATGGTGGCAGAAGGAATGGATAGAGAGGCAAAATTGCCTACTAAAAAGAAAAGAAAGAAGGGCTTGCGAATAAAGGGGAAAAGGCGTCGAAAGAAACTAATTCTTGTGAAAAAATTTAGTAAGGATTTGGGGTCTGGGAGGCCTGTTGCAGATCCCCCTGCTTTGTTAGCTTCCAGTACTCCTGAGCGGGATGAAGAAAGTCTTTTTGAGAGCAATATAGAAAAACAGATCTACCTACCTAGTACTAGAGCCAAGACCTCCATTGTATGGCACTTCTTCCATGTGGACCCCCAGTACACCTGGCGGGCCATTTGTAACCTCTGTGAAAAAAGTGTTAGCAGGGGTAAACCAGGCAGCCATCTTGGGACATCTACTCTTCAAAGACATCTACAGGCAAGGCATTCCCCTCACTGGACAAGGGCCAACAAATTTGGAGTCACTAGTGGAGAGGAGGACTTTACTTTGGATGTAACTTTATCTCCCTCTTCTGCTGGAAGCAGTGGAAGCTTTGACTATATTCCTACTGATCCATTAAATGATAATAGAATGGGTAAGAAACGGGATAAATCACTATCTGATGCCCTGAGGGCGGAAAGGGGGAGATTTCTCATCAAAAGTAACCTTGTCAAGCATGCCTTAATTCCTGGAACAAGAGCCAAGACATCTGCAGTTTGGAATTTTTTTTATACTGATCCTCAGCACATCTCAAGAGCTGTGTGTAATATATGTAAAAGAAGTGTGAGCCGTGGTAGGCCAGGTTCTCACTTAGGAACTTCAACACTTCAACGACACTTGCAGGCCACACATCCCATCCATTGGGCTGTTGCCAACAAAGACAGTGGTGTGCTTGGAAATGGATTAGATGAGACTGAGACAGACAGAAATCTCTTGAGTGATACTTCGCATGGAGGGAAGTCTACAGGCAGCCAAGATTTAACAGCTGAGGACCTTAGTGACTCTGATTCAGATGGACCTCCTGTGTTAGAGATGGAAAATAGGATATCTGAGAGTCCTATTCCTGTTGCAGAGCAAGATACTCTGATGCATGCCCACGAGAGAGAAACAACATATTGTGAAAATGCAGCCTCCAGTCAAGTAAGTCAGGCGATTATTCAAATGATTGTGGAAGATATGCATCCTTACAGCTACTTCTCAACCCCAGCCTTTCAGAGGTTCATGCAGATTGTGGCCCCTGATTATAGATTACCATCTGAGACTTACTTCTTCACTAAGGCTGTACCTCAGTTATATGATTGGGCCAGAGAAAAAATTTTCTTAACTTTGGAGAATGTTCAAAGCCAAAAGATCCACCTGACTGTGGACATATGGACCCATGACCCGTCCACTGATTATTTTATTGTGACTGTACACTGGGTCTCCTTGGACACTGTACCTTCTTCCAGTACTGGCTGGATCCCCAATTTTAGAAAATGGGCAGTGCTTTGTGTAACAGGTTTGGCCAAAGACTGTTTGGTAACCAACATTTTACAAGAATTAAATGACCAGATTGGTCTGTGGCTTTCTCCTAATTTCCTCATTCCTGGCTTCATTGTTTCTGACAATTCTTCTAATGTGGTACATGCAATCAAAGAAGGTGGTTTTACCCACGTGCCATGCTTCCTGCATTGTTTAAATATAGTCATTCAGGATTTCTTCTGTGAGCACAAAAGCATTGAGAACATGTTAGTGGCTGCTAGGAAAACCTGTCATCATTTTAGTCATTCAGTCAAGGCTCGTCAGATACTGCAAGAGTTCCAGAATGATCGCCAACTTCCATGGAAGAATTTGAAGCAGGATGAACCTGGCCATTGGATTTCTACCTTTTACATGTTAAAATGGCTCTTGGAGCATTGCTATTCAGTTCACCACAGTCTTGGGAGAGCCAGTGGAGTTGTACTCACCTCCCTTCAGTGGACCCTAATGACTTACGTTTGTGATATTCTTAAGCCGTTTGAGAAGGCCACCCAGAACATCAGTGTGAAGACCACAGGATTGAATCAGGTGCTACCAATAGTCCATCATCTACACTTTTCCCTGCAGAAACTCAGAGAAGATTTTCAAGTCAGAGGTATTACACAGGCCCTCAATCTGGTGGACAGTTTATCTCTGAAACTTGAAACGGATGCCCTACTAAGTGCCATGCTCAAATCTAAGCCCTGTATCTTGGCTGCTTTGTTAGATCCTTGCTTTAAAAATAGTTTGGAAGACTTTTTCCCTCACGGTGCTGATTTAGAAATGTATAAGCAGATCCTTGCAGAAGAAGTTTGTAATTATATGGAATCTTCACCAGAGGTCTGCCATATTGCAACTTCAGAAGCTTCTGGTCCCTCAACTGTAGTACAAACGGACTCATTTACTTCATCTACAGGAGAAGGCACCTCCAGTTCAGGGTCTGTTGGTAGTTCAGCTGCAGATACTGTTGGCATTGGAGGCAAAAGCTTCATGTTTCCATCTGCTGTAGCAGTAGTGGATGAATACTTCAAAGAAAAGTATTCAGAGATCTCAGGTGGTGATGATCCTTTGATTTACTGGCAGAGGAAGGTGAGCGAATGGCCGGCTTTGACCCAAGTTGCCATTCAGTATCTAAGCTGCCCTATGTGTAGTTGGCAATCTGAATGTATCTTTACTGCAAATAGCCACTTTCATCCAAAGCAGACCATGAGCCTGGACTTTGACAATATAGAACAGCTAATGTTTCTGAAAATGAACTTGAAAAATGTTAAATATGATTATTCTACATTGGTTCTGAGCTGGGATCCTGAAAATGAAGTTGTTCAAAGCAATGAAAAAGAAATATTATCTTAATTTTCCTTTCTCCATTTAAAATGGACAACTTCTTGCTTTGTTACTGTATTCTAATTGCTATAGTTGTTACATATTGTTAACTAATTATTCTTTATACATGAATCTGGGGGAACCTGAAAACACAAAAAGGACTGAAAATTTCTCAGAGGTAACGTTGGCAAAGTGAAGATTAACTTTAATGATTTTACAGTACTAATTCAATGTGACTGTCACATGAAATTTTGTTTATATCAGTTGAAATATATTTTTTAACTTAAAAAATATAGTGCAGCATTGAAAGGCCTTGTGCTATTTCTTACTGGTAAACTGAACCTAGTAATTGGTTTTGAACAAAAATCTCTTCCAACATGAAAAGTTGATTACTCTTAAGACCAATGATAATGAAAAAACAACAACAACAATACATACTAAGCTGGTATTCCTACCCCTCACCCCCATTTTTCTATTTCTTTTAAAACTCTGAATCATACTTAAAGCGTGGCAGAAACAAAACTCACAAAATTGTTTTATATTTTGAAATTTCTAATTGCCTCCTCATACTGGTCAGCTTTATAATTTCAGCTTACTGAGTTTACCCTTTAAGGATTGGATCTATATAAAAGGGAAACATTACAATTAGGAAAAATTACTTTTAATCTTTGAATTTCCTTTTTTAACCTTTTTTAAAATAGTATAAAAACTTAAGATTGCATAGGTACTTTTGCCTAATTATGGGTAAATGACACAGTAAACGTTTTACAAAATTTAAAAAAGATTGCATGGGAATTAAAATCTAAGTCCCATACATGAGCATACTTTGACAATCCTAGTATCCATTTTCCAAAGACAGTTTTTCTGATATTAAGTAATCCTAAGTACTTTTTAATGTATACTGAATTCTTCATAACTATGTATTCTTAACTATGAAATTGTTTTGGCATCAATTCTTAACTAAAAATAAGCAATTAATATTTTCATGTGTTAGGAATCATTTCCTCATTGGTAAAATGAGAGAATGAATCTCAGTGATTTTTAAGGTTCCTTTCCACTCTGTTTTATAATTGATTGGGAGGCCAGAAAATGATGACTTTTAATAAAAGTCTATTAAAATTTTCAGACTGAATAACTAATGTAAGATCCCAATTTTTCCTTTTTTTCATTTTAGATTTGGGGATATTCCCTGCCCAAAAATTTCCTGGAAAATTGACTAGTATTAAGTGTGAGTAAAAGGTGTCCACTTTTTTTTTTTTAAGTTTTTATTTTAGTTTTGTCTTGGATAGTATTTGGCAAGATTTAGCCTAGAAATAATGTAGTATCTATTACATGAAAATCAAAATTGCTTTGTTACTGGGCTGGTTACAAAATTTAGAATTCATTTCTATGTATCAAATCGTTTTTTGGTGGGGTTTTTGTTTTTTTTTTGTTTTTGTTTTTTGGCCTTTTTTCTTTTAATTCTTAAATGGTAAATGTACCATTGTGGAATGAAATTTCAACTTCAAAAGTTTACCCTTTTATTAACTAGAGTAAATGGATAATTGCAACGTCTTTAGTTGTAGCCATCAGTAGTAAAGAATTTGAAATTAGGCTGCATAAGCAAGCCTTTGCAGGAGGGCCAATATTGAATTTCATGCCAGTTGACACTGGTTGCTATAAAAGAAAAACAATCTTCCCTTAATAGAAGCTTTTTGTATTTTGACAGTGCCAGCTCAGTATGGCTATAATGCTGTTCTGCCTTCTACAGCTTGCTGCACCACTCTGTAGTTACTCTATAACTATACGTTTCTATCTTTTTTGGTTAAACACTCCCTGAAGATGAAAAAGATTATGATATACATGCATCCATATTATACACATTGATATATGTGTTAAGAATTCACTTCATCTTTATTTTGCCAGCTGGGCAAAATTTTGTGTAACATCTTCATGATACTTTGGTATAAGAGTAAGTTCACTACTTTTATAATGAATCCAAATCTAAAGGCTTTTGTAGTGTATTTTAAAAGGGAAAACTTACCCAAATGTTTTATTTCTACACATTTGTGTGTATGTGTGTGTGTGTATGTGTGTATAAGCCAGTTAGTATATATGTATATTATGTACATAAAACACTATTTTTACATACAAGTGTGCTTTTATTATACAGATAATAAAGATGGGGGAAGGTTTCTGTTTTTTTCTTAATAGGTGAAGAAATCTTGAAGACCAGAAATTGGATCTTATTGAATTTTGGTGTTCTTTTTTATTTTTTCTCTTTCTTTTTTTCTTTTTAAATTATATTGTTCGACTATGGAAGATGGATTTTTTTAAAAAAAATAATCCTTTGAATTCCAAGTTCATCTTTAAATGAACGTTTTTTGTTTGTTTTTTTGTTTTTGTTTTTATTTTGAGGAGATAACTAGCTATAGCTGTCTCCAGTCTGACAAGGTTGTTCGAATGGACTTAATCTCCCAATAGTTGGGAAATGTTTTAAAAACACATCCTGTGTTTGAATTGTGGCTGAGAGGTTTCCTTGGCAATGTGAGGAGGAAATTTTTTTCTGCCTCATTATTATTAATTCATGGATTGAGTGTTGGTTCGACCTACAGGCGTAATAGATTGGAACTCAGTGAAGACACAGATGTTCCTGTTGAGAGCAACCAGCTAATGTAAGTGTGGAAATTGTTTTTTTTCTCCTTAAAGGACTAAACACTTTTTTAATTTAAGGCATAATTTTCCTAGATCAGTAAGAAGTGAACCATCATCAAAACATTGTTTTTCTTGTAATTGTTTATAAGCTTTTGGTTGGGGAAAAAAGGTACCCCCTTTCCCTTTTTTTATAATAAGTGCACATCTAAAAAAGGTAAAAGCATTATAGCCAAGGTGAAATCTTGTAATCCCATCTATATAGGTAAATACTATTGAAATTTTGTTTTATCTGATTAGATGATTTGGAGGAGGGACTTGGAAGATTTCACCTTAAATATTCATTGTTTTCCCATTTTAGCATTACATTTTAAAGGCGATTTCTGTGATTGAATTGTCATTTGGAAGATTAAATCCATTTCAAAAGGACTTGAAGCTGGTCCTCACCTTAAAGGAAGCAGTGGCTTGTTTTCAAGAAGCCATTTCTGATCTCAGGATCTACCCAGCATGCCTAATCAAGGAGAAGACTGCTATTTTTTCTTCTATTCTACATGCACCAAAGTAAGAAATGGTTTTCAGTACACTAAGTTTTCATGTTTTGTTTTCTGCACTGTTTTATTATCTTCTGTCAGCTTTTTAATAAAGGATAGCATTCCTACGTGAATTCGTTCTTCGTGTATTCCTCTTCGTTTTTATGTTCTTCATGTTCTACAAAAATGTGAAGGCCTCTTGCCTATATGAACTTGCTTAGGGTGCCTTTGGAATTAGGAGCACTTTGGCCTGTGGCTTACCAACTTTAATTTTATTCGCTGTGTATTGTATTGTACTTCTAGAAACTGCTATGAGTTCAATTCACTTTCAGATTTCCTGCTGAATACTGAAGCCATCTACTAAATATGCTTTTGTAGCTTTTCTGTTTTTTATCAAAGCTTCCTTGTTTTCTCTTTGGTTGTACTGCAGCTCTGTTTAGATCAATGTGCTATTTTCTGTTGTTCCTTTATGGCAATTTTATAAATGTACGTGTTATTACAAAAACTTTTCTTTAGTCATCTTGGTGCTTTGTTTAAAATTAACAGTTTTGAGCAAAGCCCTGATCTTACAGCACTTTGCACAATAGTAGTATTTGGATATCATTTTATAAAGTATGGAGTGGAGCATAGAATTATACTTAAATCCTCATCTATTAACTTCCTTTCTGGCCTTTTTTCAAAAACTGATCACATTAGTTGGGATATATAAAACAGTTGAAGATGAACTGTATAATTATTTTTAAAGAATATCTAATACTCCCACTTTTTTAACTTATGTCATCACTCAGCTTGTGTTGTTCATGTTGTCGGATAAGATGAAGGGTAGTGTCAGGAAATAGGTTGTAGAAAATTATAAATTTGTTGATCTGTGATTTTTTTGTTATCCCATCTCAGGTGTCTTCTTTGTCTGTCTCCTTACTGTTTTCTCTTTGTCTAGATGCCAGGAAACTGTTAAAACGAACATTTCACTTGAGATCTCTTTCAAAAGTTTCACAATTCTTTTCTGTATTACTCTCTTTGTTGACAGGGTGACAGCTGTCCGTTCCGTCACTGTGAAGCTGCACTAGGAAATGAAACTGTTTGCACATTATGGCAAGAAGGACGCTGTTTTCGACAGGTGTGCAGGTTTCGGCACATGGAGATTGATGTAAGTTTTGAATTTGTATTATAAAAAATGTAATGGGGAAATGACATGTTATGTGATTTAAATTTTTAAAAATGATCTAGTGAGCCGAAACCAGTTTGGCTCAATGGATAGAGCACATGTGTCAAACACAAGGCCCGCGGGCCAAATCCGTCCCGCCAGGCCTTGCAATGTGGCCCGCACCGCGCTGTCATCACTGCACTCCGCTGCGTTTCCATCACAATGACAGTTTATGACTGTTCAGTAAACCATTCGGCCCGCAATTTAGGCTGGATTTTAGATTTTGGCCCCTTCTCTGATTGAGTTCGACACCCCTAGGATAGAGCGTCGGCTTGGGGACTGAAAGGTCCCCGGTTCGATTTCGGTCAAGGGCATGTACCTTGGTTGTGGGCATATCCCCAGTAGGGGGTGTGCAAGAGGCAGCTAATCGATGACTCTCTCTCATCGATGTTTCTAACTCACTCTCTCCCTTCCTCTCTGTATAAAATCAAAATATATTTAAAAAAATAAAAATGATCCAGTGAAATTTCTGTCATAATGCTCACTTAATATCTACATGTTATGGAGTATAAATTGGTATAATTTTTATGAAAGGCAGTTTGGTTATGTATGTATATTGGGAGTATTTACATCTGTTTATCTTCAAACTATCTCAAACTTAAGAGAAAAATTACAAGAGAAAAATTCTAAGACATTTGGGAATAAATAACTGACATTCCCTGTCACTTCCAAATGTTTTTATGAGTATTTCCTACAAATAGGAAGGGCATTCTCCTATATAACCATTCTACAACCTTTAAAATTAGAAAATTAACATTGATATATTACTTTCATTTAATCCTCAGATCCAACTCAAGTTTTGCCATTGTACCAGTAATGCTTTTTATTTCAGAAGGAGCATGTCCAGAATCAAGTGTTGCATTCAGTTGTCATAACTTTTTAGTCACCTTCAGTCTAGAATAGTTGCTCAATCTTTGCTTGTCTTTCATTGGCATTGACACTTAGTTATGGGTCAGTTATTTTGTAGAATGTCCCTCAATTAGGGTTAGTCTGATATTTCCTCATGACTAAATTCAGGTTTGTACCTTTGGCAAGAACATCAGAGTTGATACTCTTCTCATTGTATACCATTATTAGGCGACATACAATGTGGGGTTTTTTAATCCTCACCTGAGGACATCAAACCCACAGCCTTTCAGTGACTGGTATGATGCCCCAACCAACTGAGCCACCTGGCCACGGCAGGTGGCATACAGTTTTAATTATCCCATTACCACTGATGTTACTGATCATTTCATTAAGGTGAAACTACCAGACTGCTTTACTGTAAAGTTTTTCTTTTTGTAATAAGTGTTTTATAACGAAGTAATTTGAGAACCTGTAATAATCCTATTTCTTATCAAACTTTCCAATTTTTTCAATGATTTATTTGTGCAAATTCATGGTTTCCTATTTTATTTAATGTGTTGTACTCCATTGTTAATATAGTTTATCCTCAAATAGACATAGATTTGGCCAGTAAGAGCCCTTCAAGATGGTTTTTGTGTCCTTTGGGTATTTCCATCATTCTTTACACACCTCTTTGCTTTCTGGCTTAATAAATAAGACTTTCTAGGCTCATCCTGTACTTCTCCTCCTCTAGTTTTGGAATCAGCCATATCTCCAAGGAGCTTTGGTTCCTTTTGGTGAAAGTAGTATATGGAAATGAGCTTTGAGCTGCCCCTGGAGTATTACTGCTTCTAGGCCTACAGTGGATGGAAGAAGGGGATATATAAATGTGTATACATATGCACATTTATGTCATTATTTATTACTTTCTGCTTTTGTATTAATAGTCATGAGTTCGCATAGATACCTTCAATTCACAAACATTACAGTCTTCTATTTTTGCATACTTATAATTCTCTTTTCTGAAAGTGAAAAACTTAGCTTCCATTCTCCTTAATATTACTTATTTGATCAGTCCCTTAGAATATGTCATCCAATATTCCAGTCTCTTCCTACCACTCAGGTGTTAAGTCCATCTGATCCAGTGTGTCCTTTAGAGTCTCTGTTTCCTTGTTAAGTTTTTGTCTGGAAGAGCTATCCACTGAAGTCAGAGAGGTGTTAAAGTCCTGTAATATGACTGTACTAGAGGCCTGGTGCATGAAAATTCATACACTGGAGTGGAGGTTCCTCATTTTGGCTGGCTGGCTGGGTTTGTGACTAGTATTAGGTAGATCCTCTACATACACCTCTCAATCTCTACTGCCAAACAATGCTAAAGGCTGTTTCTAACTAATCTGATTAGGTAAAGACTCAAAGCCTCCAGAGACCACCTTTGGCTACAAACTAATAGGATTCTGACTTGAATTGCTGCCCACACCCCCCAAGCAGTTGTCCTCAGGTGTGGTGAAAGTTTTCTTCAACAGGATTAGGCAGTTGCTTCTGCCTGGAGGCTAATTGTTATTTTTAATCTCCCAAGTGGCTTCTGAGCAAGGTGTTTTCCAATAGGGTGTGTTAACTATCTTTACCTGGGCAAGGCAAACGTCTATGTGGGAAATGACTCAGTCCAGGAAACTTGGGGGGTCTGCCTTCTGAGCTCTATCCCCCAAGTCCCCTGTCTCAGCTTCTGCTCTCACAGCTCCAGTCCACTTCACCCTCCTCTGCTGGAGCACAAAGTTGGTGGCTCCACATGGATTTTTGTGCATTGGTCCTTTAAGAGGGTGCCTATGTTTTCATCTGTTAATTCCTGGTAGACAGCGCCCCCGCTGCTTTTCACAATCAGATATTATGTGGGTTCCTCTTCAGTTTTGGTGCTTTCTGCTGGGAGACCCAGCTCGGGGATTAGATCCCAGAGTTCTCAGTGGCAACACACACACACACACACACAGCTGAGATATCTCTCCAGGACTTCAGTTTCCATCTGTGGGTGCCCAGCTAACTTTTTTGCACCCCCACCACCACCATCAGTCTCTATGCATTCTCCACTTTCAGTCCTTGGGAGTCAGGGTTCTCCCCTGCGAGTTTTCCGTTGATCAAGAAGTTTTTCTGTATTTTAGATGTAATTACAGTTTGTTCCTGGGAGCGTGCAGCATCCACTTACTCAGCCACCATTTTTAATTCTCTTTAGGTGTTGACATCACACCTGAGGCTGCTTCTCCACAGGGACACCTTTCTCACCTTATGTCAGTGCCAACACCTGTTCCAGATCTCCCCCCTGCTTCACTGAGGACTCCTTCCTCAGCATTCTATTCTGGAGCCCTCTGGCCCCACCTCCAACCCCCATGCCCACCCCCATGGATGCTCTTTCCACACCCTTGGACTCTGATACTATGTTAGCCCTCCCATGTGAGGTGCTCACCCTGTTTGTTCAACTCTGCACCTGGTCCCCACTCAGGAAGACCCTTCCTTTCTCCCGCTGGTTGGTCTTGGAGCTGATTCTGGGAAGACCCTCCATAAGTACACCCTCCTTTAACCACATTGGAATACCTTCTGCCCAGAAGTCTTGCTTGCCTTCTCACGCTGCTCAGGCTCCGACACTGTGCCAGGACATCCTCTTATGCAAATGTCATACTAACTCCTTGTGGATTCCGACACCCTGTGCCAGTCCCACCTTGTCCAGTAGACTCCTCACCTCAGTCCGGCTCGAACTCCCTGCTCTAGGCCACACATCCTTCCCTTTTCCATATGAATGCCTGCCTCTCAGCCTTTCCTGATGACTTTGGTCTGAATTGTTTGAGGGGTGGTATAGGAAGGAAGAGACTAAATATGCAATTTGGATGTCTGGGCTTATATAGCTACTCTAGTTTGGTCCCAGGTTTAGAGTTTCTTAACTGTCTTCTATGCTGCTTGTCTTCCAAATAGCAAGGAATTCACTAACGTTCAGAGAAAGGAATACTCGGTAACTTTTGAAAAGTCATATTGTAACACTGCTGGTATAGTTTGCAAATTGGCGCAATTTCTAGGAAATATCTCTAAGTGTTAGTGTCTCTAAGAAGAATTACATTTAGAGATTATCTCGGAGAACTCAAGGAACTAAGCATTTAATTGTATTCTTGGCTAGTATTATAGTGGCACAGTAAGGATATTCTGATTGTAAGAGAAAAGGACACAGGCAGAGTCTGGAGCAAGCTTGTCAAACATGCAGCCTGCTGGTCGCAAGTTTGACATGCTTGGTCTGGAGGAATTCATGTGTGGGCTTCTCTATGATCTCCCTCCTATGAGAGGTCATGCAGAGCTAACAGTTCCTTTAGCCGTGGAAAGGCACCGGTATAAATGTGATGTTTCTGCCCAGGGAAGCCCATGAGAGACCCAAAGTTTTTATTGGAGCAGGTTGCTTAGGCACCCTCTACCAAGTATATACCAAAGCTATTGAGTTACTTTATATCTTTATTATAAGTATATGAAATTGCATAATTCTTTCACATACCTAACAACACAGTGTATTATCAAATTATCAATCTTCAGAGTAGTAGACTTTGATCTTTGCCTTTTCTTATAAATTTAAGGATCTTTATATAATAGCCATTATTTCTTTGTTTCCTTCCTCAGTATTTTAAAATTTCTGCTATTCTTTCTGGGAATTTTAAACATTAGGCTCTTAATGATGAGACATCCAAAATAATGCTGGTTATTAATCAGAGGTTAGTTAATTTTCAGAATGCTTACCAGGTCCTTTTTCTTTGTTGAAGTATTTTTAAAGTATATATAAAAATGTGCTTGAAGAATTTTCACAAAGTGAGTAATATACTTACTTGACCAGCACCTAGATCAAGAAATAGAATATTTCCAACACTCGGTCTTCCCCTTCATTGTCTCTAACCAAGTCCCAAAAAAACAAGTCACACTTCATTTTTATTTGAAAACTATGTTTTTCCCTCTTACAGAAAAAACGGAGTGAGATTCCTTGTTATTGGGAAAATCAACCAGTAGGATGTCAAAAACTAAACTGCGCTTTTCATCACAACAGAGGACGTTATGTGGATGGCCTTTTTCTACCTCCAAGCAAAAGTGAGATGTTTTTAATTTTAAAAGAATAGTTGCTATATAATGAAAATCTACATGCACACTGTACAAAGTACTTTATGTACTTGACTTATTTTCCTAGTGTGAGAGAGTAGTATTTCCACTTTACAGATGAAGGAACCCTACTTTATTAAGGTTAGGTGATTTGTACAGTTATAAACTAGTAAGTAGAAGAGTCACAATCCTGTTGCCAAAAGTCATGTGCCTCATAAGTGTTTCTTGGCATTACAGTTTAGATTACGATAGCTTGCTTCATTCCCCATTTTCTTATCAGACCCATAGAGGCTTTTGACTTTTTCCTCTCTCTCTACTCTCACCCAAGGTCACGCTTAGAGAAAGAGGAGGGCAGTGGGTGAAGAGAAAAAGAGAAACATGGATGTGAGAGAGGAGCAGACTGGTTGCCTTCCACACGTGCCCCGACCAGGGATCGAACCCCAAACTCAGGTATGTGTCCTGACTGGGAATCGAACCAGGAACATCTTTGTTGCATGGGACATGCTCCAACCAATTCAAACACTCTGAGAGAATCAAGTTTCTTTCAAAAACCACTGCCCAGCCATAATGGAAGAAACTTGATTCTCTCAGTGTGTTTGGCAGATCTCTCCTTCCACCTGTTTTATAAAATAAGGTTTATTGGAATGAAGCCATCCCAATTCTTTTTCATATTGTCTACGGCCAAATTTCATGCTACTGCTTCAGAGTTGAGTAATTGAGACAGAGATCTGTACAGCCTGTAACAGTGGTCGGCAAACATGTGGCTCTTTGGCCCCTTGAGTTTTTAGCAAAGGCCAGCTTACAAGTACCTTAATTAAGTTAATAACAATGTACCTACCTATATAGTTTAAGTTTAAAAAATTTGACTCTCCAAAGAAATGTCAATCGTTGTACTGTTGATATTTGGCTCTGTTGACTAATGAGTTTGCTGACCACTGGCCTATATTTGCTATCCAGCCTTTTACAGAAAAGATTTGCTAACCCTGCTTTAGAGTAATCTAAAATAAAACTACATACCCTGTTTGGTTTGGCTTAGTGGATAGAATGTCAGCTGGAGGACTAAAGGGTCCAGATTCGATTCCAGTCAGGGCACATGCCAGGGTTGCAGGCTCCATCTCCAGTGGGGCGGGGTGCAGGAGGCAGTCAATCAATGATTCTCTCCTCTGTGATGTTTCTATCTCTCTTCCCTTCCTCTGTGAAATCAATAAAATATATATTAAATAATAATAATAAAATAAAACTACACTCTACCAAAAGATAGTATTTATTTTCAGAGTCCCTTATAAAGTGATTTCCTAGTGGAATGATCAGCCATTTGAAAACTACATTTGCTGTGTGATTAAATTTTGATGGCTACACATTTTCACCTTTTAAGGAAGGAAAATTACAATATTTAAATTACATGTCTAGAATTTATAGTCACTATGCATCTAACCTCCTGTATAATATGTATTTTCAATGTCCACTTTGAGTGTACTTACATACAGTAAGTGAAAAGTTAACTAAAAGCCAAATTTTTCCTCCTTGGAAATTTAGAACCTAATTGGAAAAATGGGGATGTTAAATAAAAACACATTAAGTGCTCATAAGGGAAAATGCACCAAACTTTTGGTGAGGGTGTTCTGATGACTTGGGCTTATATCCTGAGTTTTTTTACTGATGACTAATTTTGCATATCTAGCTGTGTTGCCCACTGTGCCTGAGTCACCAGAGGAGGAAGTGAAGGCTTCCCAGCTCACAGTTCAACAAAACAAATTGTCTGTCCAGTCCAATCCCTCTCCTCAACTGCGAAGTGTGATGAAAGTAGAAAGTTCAGAAAATGTTCCTAGCCCCACTCATCCACCAGTTGTGATCAATGCTGCAGATGATGATGAAGATGATGATGGTATGTTTTAGTTCTTTATGGCAAATACGTGATCAGGATCACTTAATGAATTAGGATTAAATCTCTAGGCTTGTTTTTAATTGTAAATTTGCCTTAAATGTTTAATATAGATCAGTTTTCTGAGGAAGGTGATGAAACCAAAACACCAACCCTGCAACCAACTCCTGAAGTTCATAATGGATTACGAGGGGCTTCTGCCCGGAAACCTGGGGTCAATTTAAAACAAGGTAAGAGGAGGTTGTATCGACGCTAGCTCCCACTCTTAAATCTTGCAATCTAAAACTGTTTTAAATACTTTTGAAATTTAATTTATGTTCTAATGAACAAAATAAACTGATGAACAAAATAGATCCAGAGACACAGGAGCATGGAACAGAATGACGAATTTAGAGGGAAAGGGGGGTTGCGGGTGCGGGTGTGGGTGTGGGTGTGGGGGTGAGGAAAGATTAACTGGAGAACTTATAGGCATATATGAGACAGAGACAATAGTGTGGTGAAGGCCTGGGAGGGGCAGGTACAGGGTAGATGAGGTCAATGGGGAAAAAGGTGGGAACATCTGTAATATTTTCAACAATAAAGATAAACTTAAAAAAATTTTAGTTCACCATTACCACCCCCTCCCTCTTCCCTACTCTTGTTATACATACACAAACTTACTTTTTTTAGTTAGAAAACATCTGAGCACTTGCTATCTATGTATCCAAAAGGCTAATAGGCTGTGTCTGTCTGGTCGCTATGACACTCACTGACCACCAGGGGGCAGCTGCTCAATGCAGGAGCTGCTATGACTCACACTGGCCATTTATAGAGAGAGCATCAGGGACCTGGTGCCCACAAATCAACACTCGGCTTCCTCCAAGTGTGACACAGGCCCTGCCACCATCCCAGAGCAACACCCCACCGACTGCCAAAACCCTAAGGTGCAAAATGAGGCCCATAGCCCAGCCCAGCAATGGTGACTGTGGGCGCCCAGCTTCCTCTCCCTAGCGACTAGCCTCCTTGGAGTTTTTCTTCAGCCCAGGAACACAACTTGCTTTATAGCCGGGTGGAAACATTTTACACTTTAACCAAATGTTTGTGAAGCATTTTCCTGTGCCTCATCTCATTTGATCCTTACAGAAGTCCTGGAATAGGTAGATAGGAGACTTGGTGGAATTCTCTTTTCATTAGCTGGGAAACAGAGATTTAGAAAGTTTAGAAACTTGACCTGCCTGAAAAGAAGTAAGAAATGGTGGACCTTGAAAATGACCAGGTTTTCTCACTGCGCAGAATAGTTAAACACTATTGCAATTAAATATTTTACCCTTTGTTCTCACTGCGTGATCTACAATAATAATCTGCTTCATGTTGATATTTACTGCTGTGTTGGCTGACAATTACTTGAAAGAGAAGTTGGGGTGCTTCACTGGGCTGGAAAAAAATTAGCTAAATCAGAAAGGTCTAATTAAGCAAGTTTATTCTATATATGTAAAATGCTAAGTTGAGTTTGACATGCGCAATACATATAAAGCTCTTGCACCAATCACATGTGTGTGTTTCAAAATGTCATTGTCAATTGTGAATTTGGTTGACACTTCTATTATAAAGGGTGGATAGCAATATAAAACATTTCTTATAATTTCCTTTCAGTGTGCACAAACTCGTGCACTGGGCCTCAAGTGTACAAATAAAATGCAAAGGTGAAAAAGTTGCTAGGTCCTCATGTGATTTCTCTTTGCTTTTCTCAGGTGAATGTTTGAATTTTGGAATAAAAACTCTTGAGGAAATTAAGTCAAAGAAAATGAAGGAAAAGTCCAAGAAGCAAAGTGGTAAGTTATCAGTTTTGACTAGATCATTGAATGTTGCTCGAGAAGAATAATTAGGATGCTTCCAATGGTAAGGACCCTTGGCAACACCCAAAGTCTTTGACTTCTGTGGCTGGTTTGAAGTTAAAACACAGACTTACTTAAATCACTTAGTTTTAATTCATTGCAATTGTGTTTCAGTTCCTAGCTATTCACAGCTAAGCACCACAGCTAAAGAGCCCAAAAGAGCTTGTCTATCTTGAGAAATAAAGTGTATTAAAAATAAATATATTTTTTGTAGTTGATGAATTCTCAGCTGCCAGGACTTTCTTCTGGAGCTTGCTTGATGTATACATTCTCAACCCTAAAAATTATTGTGTCAGATTAATATTTAGAGAGAATCATGTGGTTGGTTCCAGTTCTCTTTTGGTAAAACTTTCTCTATAGGAACCTTGGAGTTGTGTTTTGCATATAATTAAATATAGATGAGAAAGATTGAATTGACACACCTGACAGCTAATGTGCTTCTGAGATTAACTTTAGAATAATGTTAACCTTGTTAGTCAATAAAAGTAGATTGAGTGCCTAAGTCATTCGAAACAATTTTTTTTTAATTTTTTGACCCCCTCCCCCAAAAAACAATTGTTTTATTTACATATTGTGTCCAAGGAAGATAAGAAATAGGGATTATCTCCCCTTCTCCCACCATGACCCCTGTAGGCAAACAGAAACAGAGAAACTGATTGGCTTATAGTCCAGTGGTCTGTGTTGGACTTACCTGGTCATAGATCGAATTTCTTGACTTGTGATAGCTTTATTTCTCACAAATTATTTACTATTCTTTGACTTGCTTTATTCAGAAGGTTCTTCAGGAATTTCCAGTCTTTTACTCCAGCCTCAGCCCATTCCAGGTCCTGAAAAAGAGAATGTCCGGACTGTGGTGAGGACAGTAACTCTCTCCAACAAACAAGGTGAGACAAAGATAGGCTGTAGACTCATAAATATCTGGGCGAGCAAAATCCTCTGCATTTTACCTTTGGTGGGTTTGCAGGAGGAGTGAAGAATGTTGGTTGGATAAAAAGATGAAAATAAAAAGTTAGTGCATTTGATTCTGCTGTTAAAAAGGTTGAAATACTTAATGCAGTTCTCACATTTATGTATATTTAACTTTTTCATTTACTGTTTATTTGTATCCATTCACCAAATTTGTTGACTGCCCATTATGGATAAAGAACTATTAAAAAAAAAACTTTAAGTTATAGAAATATTTTCCTTCATAGTAAGGAATAGAACACAAGTAATTATGATATGCAGATACATCTTTTATGTTTGTGCCATTCAAACAACAAAGAATCAGAAGAAAACACTTTTGGAGTGGTCAAAGAAAGTTATAGGAGTGGAGTATGAATTTTTTTTTTTTTTTTTTTTTTTTTTTTTTTTTTTTTAGCATACTGAAAGTACACAAGCAAAAGTATAGATTTTTATAATCAATTGATTAGAATATAACTTGTCCTTGTATAATTGGCTACTATTAGTAATTAGGACTGCTATTGCTTCCCTTTGGGCTGTGCATTTGGCTACTTAAATTTATTATTTAACGTGTTGATTTTTTTTTTAATATATATTTTATTGATTTTTTACAGGGAGGAAGAGAGAGGGATAGAGAGTTAGAAACATCGACAAGCGAGTCATTGATCAGCTGCCTCTTGCACACCCCGTACTGGGGATGTGCCCGCTACCAAGGTACATGCCCTTAACCAAAATTGAACCTGGGACCTTTTAGTCCACAGGCCGACGCTCTATCCACTGAGCCAAACCGGTTTCGCCTGATTTTTTTTTTTTTTTTATTGAGAATCTTGAGACTGAGAACTGATTTTCAAGAAATTAAGTGGACTTACGTTAATATTGGCACATGCTTTATATCTATTAGTAGTTACTGAATACCGAAAAATTGCCTAATAGAGAAATTCTGTTTTGCCATTTCAGGAGAAGAACCATTGATAAGATTGAGTCTCACTGAGAGACTGGGGAAACGAAAATTTTCTGTAGGTGAGAAAAATTCTGTACATATCCTTTGTTTTCTTCTTGTTTGTGCATTTATAAGGTACCTCTTCCAACCTTCTCTTTATATAAGTGCCCTGTCATAATTGATTTGTAATCTTCCTATATTTTGGCTGAAATCAAATTTAAAAATTTTCCATGTTTTCCACACGTGCATTACACCTTTCATTAAAAGAGAAATTTGTGTTACAATTTAATTTGATTATGGCCAGCATTTTAAAAACCATCAAAGTATATCTTTGTTTCTATGGACAAATTAAAATTTGACATTTTAGAGAGGAAGAAGTGTCCAGTTAATATAAATTCAGCCCCTGCGTTTATTAGTGCTAGATTATATTTAGGGAAGTATTTAACATATTACTGAATTATTGTGTACCTACCCTAGCGTGTCTGTTTCAAACAAGTTATTTTGAAAGTCTCTTCTGACTTTATACTCTTTTAAAATGTGCTTACAAATATGAAATTTTACCTGTTTGGAATTTTTTTTGACACCATTCTCATTGCTTGATAAATTTTAGGTAAAAAATACAGAAATAAGTTACTTTAATATCAGCATACATGTAAACATTGTAAATTTTTAGTTTCATGTTTAAATTATCAGTGAAAGGAGAGAGAAAAACATACTCTGCAGAGTCTTTTTAAGTTTTTAATGGGACCCTGGAAAGATTGTCAAGCAATTTTAAAAACATAAATTCATGACATTTAAACAACTTATATTGAACAGTGTAATGTAATAAACCGGGAATTGGGAAACTTTGTCCATATCTTGGCTCCATCAATAATTGATGACTTGGCTAAGATAGAGAATCCTTCATAACCTTAGATGTCTTATTGGGATTGAAGACAAGTGCTATTTGGCCTTCAGAGTCTTCATGTCACAGAAAAAATTTTAATTTTGTGATTCTTTTGCTGTCCTAATCTCTGGTGCATTAAGCCACTAATTTACTTAGAATTCAGCAAACAAGGAGTGAAGTTTTTTGGTGTTTTTTGGTTCATGGAGGGTTTTTTTTGTTTGTTTGTTTTCATATATTCCTAATTCTGATTTTCAATTGTAGGATTTATAATCCTCCATTTGTAATTTTAGTCAGTTATTTGATAAATGTTAATTTGTGCAGTCTAATTTTTTGTCCCTTCTTTTGGAACATTTTTATTCCTTCTCTAACCTTGAGTTATGAATAAGCTAGCAAACGAATACACCATAAAAATGAAGAAAAATAAAGAAGTATTCTATGTTTTCTGTTTTTGCTTGTATATCTTGATCTTGCAGAAGGTTGACTTGAACTCTTAAACTGAATTCCCTCTATTTGTAGATGGTGACAGTGATCCTCCGTTAAAGCGTAGCCTTGCACAAAGGCTAGGGAAGAAAGTTGATGCTTCAGAAACTGACAAAACACCAAAGAAAGGTACCTTTTTTGTAATACACTTTGTGTGTGTGTGTAATCCTGACACTTACCTTCTATAATGTTAACAATAGTTTGTTACTTTCTTTGTGCATGAAAATTAGATTATCTTCTGGTACGCATTTTATTCATTCAACAAACATTTGAGTTGCTTACTCTACTAGATTCTAGGTAGACATCATTGTATAAAATAAACACCATCACATTCCTCAAGAGATTATAGTAGAAATACTTATATGTATTGTGATAATTTCTTTTATGAAAGCACAAAATTTGCAGCCAAATTCCTCCTTGACAATCAATTATTTTAAAGACTTAAACTAAAGAACATACTTCAAATAGATTTAGGAGGGAAAGCCTTTTGATGTCAAGATTTTAGCAGGTTGTATCAGTGTTTTTCAACCTTTTTTGGGCAAAGGCACACTTGTTTCATGAAAAAAATCACGAGGCACACCACCATTAGAAAATGTTAAAAAATTTAACTCTGTGCCTATATTGACTATATATAAAGTAATTCTCTTGAATAGGAATCAAATGAACACAAAGAAAGTATTTTATAATTACTTTATTATAAAATATTAAGTAAACAAAATAGTGAAAAATTATAAAATTCTTGTCTTGTCTGCACCTACGGCACACCAGGCAACATAGTGTGCCGCGGAACAGCAGTTGAAAAACGCTGGGTTGTATGGTAACAAAGTTATTTTACTAAACTCAGTAGTTTCTGCTTTTCAGATCTAAAGAAAAATATTTAAAGCTCTCCGGAGTGCTTTGGGGAATTCACATAGAGGAAAGTTTAAGACCTGAAAACATTTTTTTAAAATATAGTTTAGCCCTAGTCTTTTTGGCTCAGTGGATAAGGGCCTGGGTTCTATTCCGGTCAAGGTCGTGGTTAGGGCACATGCAGGAGGCAACCAATTGATGTGTTTCTCTCACATCGATATTTCTCTGTCTTTCCCTCTCCCTTCCACTCTAAAAATTCAATGGAAAAATATCCTCGTGTAAGGTTTAAGAAAATAGAGTCATGCTGCCCAGTTGACCTAAAACATTTTTAAAAACATTGTATTATAAGAGAAATATAAGCCTAATTTATGAACTTTGAAAAAGATATTTGATCTCTAAAAAATTCTCTGTTCAACTTTTGGGGTTTTTGGTTTTTATTTACAGTTCAAGTTTCCAAGTCTCTAAAGGAACGCTTAGGTGTGTCAGCTGGTCAAAACAATGAGGAGGCAGCAGGTAGGTAAACCCTAAGACCAGCTGCTGATATTCTTTTTCTTGCCATAAAATCTTTACTTTTTCTCCTATTTATCTGTTGAGTTAGTTTAGGGCTTGTGGTGTTTTTTGTTTTGTTTTGTTTTTTGTGAGTGTGTGTGTGTGTGTGTGTGTGTGTGTGTGTGTGGCTTTTCTTTGTTTAAGTAGTTAGTTACTTAGTTATGAATTCTGTTTTTGATCTTTAAAAGTGCCATACTGAGTTTTCATCATTGTATTGATAATAGAAAATTAGAAACAATCTAAGTATCTAACAAAAAGGAAGTAGATTAAATTAAGGTAGTTCTATATTGTAATTGCTGTCACCCAGCTGATGTGGCTCAGTGGTTGAGGGTCAACCCATGAACCAAGAGGTCATCCATTCAATTTCCTGTCAGGACACATGCCTGTGTTGCCATCTTGATCCCCAGTAGGGGGCATGTAGGAGGCAGCTGATCAATGACGTTTTTCTTTTGTAGATATTTCTACCTCTCTATCCCTCTCCCTCCCTCTCTCTAAAAATCAATTTAAAAACATTTAAAATAATTGCTGTCAAGAAAAGTCATGTTCTGGACAACAGTGATGGAAGAAACTTCTCTCATATTGAATGAAGAACGGTTACAAAAGAACATACCACTTTTGATCTTTAAATCTTTGATTTTTAAAATTCTTATAATAGAAACCTATTCTCAGGCAGAAGTTCATATGTATGAGATAATTTCAACTTTGTAAAGATAAAATTGTATGATTAGGAAATACACTGCAAAAAAATACATAAATATTATCATTGGTTTTATCTGGGTATTGAAGTTTTAAATCATTTTAATTTTCTTTATATTCTTCCCTCTAATTTAATGTTGAAGTTTTAAGTTGCAAGATATAACTATGTAAATGTATATGTGCATACAATTTAAAGAATAGTAAAATGAACATTCTGTTACTCAACCATCTAGCTTTTTTATACATTGCTGGATTCAATTTAATGCTCTTTAATTTTTATATATTTATGAATGATAGTATCCTTTGCTTTTTCTTTTTCATTTTATCCTTATCTTATTTGGATATTAAGATTTTACCAGAATTCATAAAAAGGGAATCTGATGTGAAACATTCTTTTTTTTTTTTTTTTTTTTTAATCCTCACCTGAGGACATTCTTATTGACTTTTTTGGCGAGAGAAATATTGGTCCGTTGTCTCCTGCACGCTTCCCAGCCAGGGCTGGGGATCTAACCTGCAACCTAGGCATGTGTCCTGACTGGAAATCAAACCCAAACCTTCAGTGCACTACCAACTGAGCAACACCAGCCAGGGCCATTCTTATTCTTTTTGAAACAAACTTTTTCTTTTCTTTTTGTGGAATTTTTCTTACAATATTTTATTGAGAAGAAGAGAATTTGTTCAGAAATCCTTCATTAGTATTAATATCAGTATCTGTTCTGAAAATAATGTTGACATTTAATTAAAGCACTGATAATTCTTTTACTTTTTTGATAATTACCTTGCAATCTTTCAGAACCTCAAAACCTCGATTCCTGATCTTGCCTAAAATGAACAAAGTATAGCATGATTCCTCCCTCTTCTGCACCCTCCTCTTACAATTGATAATACAGCACAGTAAGAGGAGCAGGGGATTACCTAATATTCCAGTGTTACACAGTGCCAGAAAGGCTTTTCACATTGTATAGCGGGCAGGAGGCAGCAGATCAGTGATTCTTATAGTTGATGTTTCTCTCTCACTCTCCTTTCCTTTCTGACATAAATAAAAACACATATTTTAAAAGAGGTGAACTCCAAATAAAATGATTTGTGTTCATTTTGAAAACAGAGAGAGTTACTAAAGTTGGTGAGATTCATGTGAAGACATTAGAAGAAATCCTCCTCGAAAGAGCCAGTCAGAAACGTGGAGAATTGCAAACTAAACTCAAGACAGAAGGCCCTTCAAAAGCTGATGATTCTACTTCAGGAGCAAGAAGCTCTTCCACTGTTCGAATCAAAACCTTCTCTGAGGTCCTGGCTGAAAAGAAACATCGACAGCAAGAAGAAAAGAAACATCGGCAGCAAGAAGCAGGAAAAAGCAAAAAGTTAAAGACGGATAGTGAGATTAAAAAAACATCAGTTTTGCCACCAATGGTTGCCAACAAAGGACAGTCGGAGGAGCCTGCGGCGAGAACGAAGTCTATGCAGGAGGTGCATATCAAGACGCTGGAGGAAATTAAACTGGAGAAGGCCCGGCGGGGGCAGCAGAGCGCCAAGAGCAGCACCAGCTCCCAGCCTCAGCCCGAGGCCGCCCCTGGGACCAGGCGGCTTTTACGAATCACCAAAAAGTCAGGTAATGAGAAAGAGCTTGTCTGGAGTACCACTTGCCCAAGTAGTCTTGCACAGGGCAGGGCTCTGCGGGTGTTCCCAGGAGTTCTGTGAAGTTCTCTTGACTTAGATAACGAAGTGAAGCTGTTTTTGTACAGCAGCACCCATAGACCTTTCATGTTTTAATGTTCATTTTGAAAGTTTATAAGTACTAAAGAGCTTTATCTACAATTTTATTAGCCCTAGTTAACATTATTTTCATTAAGTTTTGTTTGAATTCATCTGTCATGAAGTTGGAGCGTAAATGAAATAACTAAAGGTCTGTTTAATATGAATTTAGGTATAAAAGAAGAGAAGAAACTTCAAGAAAGTGAAATTGCATTTCAGAGCAGTGTTGCTAGAACAGAAGCTAAAGAGGTGAGTTTATTTAAAATCATTTTATAATTTTGCCCATGGCAAGTGAAGGCTAGGTGAATGGTAAAATATGCCTTTTAGTTTTAGCTTATAATAAATTTCTGTTTAACACTTCACTGATGTGTAAACAGTCTTTCACTATGTGTATAATTCCCACAGGGAAAACTTTTTTTTCTCTAATGGAGGTTTTCTGTACTTCTATGTATATCACCAGTGTCCTCTGTCCTTTAAACGTTTTTTAATTGGCATTAGTGTTTTTAAATTGAGCTTTTTTTCTTGCCAATTCATTGTACTAAACTTGGTAGTTTTTATTTTTAGAAGAATGAGAAACCCTGTAATTCCAGTCTACATGTACCCACCATTCATTTTGTTTTTCATGGGTTTCCTTCAAGCCTTTTATTTACATACACGTGTGTGAACTCATTTAATCTTTGACTCGTGTGTAGAATGTAAAGGCAGTGCTCATTTTGTAGCCTGCTTTACTTTTACCCCATTAGTAATTCTTCAAGATGTTCATCCACATTGACCACATAGAGTTCATACAAATGTAGTCTGTTTCTGGACTTCGTTTTACCTAAGATAATGAGCATCTTTGTATCGATACATTAGTGCAAGTATCTGATTATTTTAAATCATTTTTATTAGATTTGGGGTCATGATTACCTAGCCTAAAGAATCTGAGATTTTTTTTTGTTGTTGCACACATATTTAATCTTTCCTCTTTAGCTTGGTGGGGTATGTTTTGTTGTTTTTTTGTTAATCCTTACCCAAGGATATTTTTTTCCATAGTGGAGAGAGTGGAAGGAAGGGAAAGAAAGAGAGAGAGATAAACATCAGTGTAATAAAGACACATCAATTGGTTTTCTCCGCCCCTCCTGGGGCCAGGGATTGAACCCGAAACTCAGATATGATTGGGACTCAAACCCGAAATCCTTCAGTTCACAGGCTGACGCTGTAAACACTGAGAAAACCAGACAGAGCAGCTTAGTGGGTTTATTTTTATTTTTAAATATATTTTTATTGATTTCTGAGAGGAAGGAAGAGAGATGAGAATCATCCATAAGCTGCCTCCTGCCTGCCCCCCACTAGGGATCAAGTTCACAACCTGGGTTTGTGCCCTGACCATGACTTCCTGGTTCATAGTTCAACACTCAACCAACTGAGCCACACCAGTTGGGCAGATGGTTTTTATTTAATATCAAAGAGCAAAGCAAGCTCTCGTGTTTCGAATTATGTGAGACACTGCTTGACTTATAAATAGTAATTATCATATAGGTTGTTAGAGGTACTAGAATTTTTTTTAAGATTTTTTTTAATTGAATTTTTGAGAGAGAAACATGGATAGGAGAGCAAACCATCGATTGATACTGCCTCAGTCCCTCCCAGGGATTGAATGCACAACCTGGGCATGTGCCCTGACTGGAAATCGAACTGGCAACCTTTGGTACAGGATGGCACCCAACCAACTGAGCCATTCTGACAGAGCTAGAGATACTTGAATTTAATTGTAATTTAAATTTATACATAGGCTTCAAATGAGACAGCAGGAGTTGGCATTAAAATTCCAATCAAGAAATGTGAGACGATGCGAGAAAAGCACATACAGAAGCAGCCAGAGAAGGGAACCTCCCAGAAGGAAAGACCTGTGCTGACATCCCTCTGGGGAGAGGTGGACGCTGGTGATGCCCAGCCAGCAGAGACGCCAGTGCTCACCGCTGTGCCGAGTGGCACCCGGAGCCTCCCGAAGCGGCTTCCCACCAAGTCATCCCAGAAGGCCGAGCTGGAAACCGCAGGGATTGGCGACTCAATATTAAATGTGAAATGTGCAGCCCAGACCTTGGAAAAAAGGGTTAAAGGTGAGTGTTCTTTCTAGTATATCTTGCTTTAGGATCTCAGAATTACCAAATTTCAGTAATTCCCTGGAGCGATTGGGTTGAATTTCATTTATCTTATATTCTGGTCACACGAAAGTGAATAATAAGTAACAGTTCTTATAATTCTTTTTTTTTTTTTTTTTAATATATATTTATTGATTTTGTACAGAGAGGAAGGGAGAGAGAGATAGAGAGTTAGAAACACCGATGAGAGAGAGTCATCGATCAGCTGCCTCCTGCACACCTCCCACTGGAGATATGCCCGCAACCAAGGTACATGCCCTTGACCGGAATCGAACCCGGGACCCTTCAGTCCCCAAGCCGACGCTCTATCCATTGAGCCAAACCGGTCTTGGCAAGTTCTTATAATTCTATTTAAAGAGACAAATCTAGATGAGTTTCTTTCTCAGCATTTAAAATTGCTATTTAGAAAAATTTTTTACTTTCTGTGGTACATTTTTCCTCTGGTTTTGAAGAAGAAAAGGAATAGAAAAGCAGTGGCAAATTCAAGAGCCACTGAAAGGAATCATTTGAGTCTATGTGTTCATTATGTTCATGTGTAGTGCAGATTGCTTGTGGATCATTTTCAACCTGAGTTTTTTTGGGTCATCATTTAATTATATGTTGTATACCACTGTGAAGGAATTTTGATACTCTGAGTTATTCTCCATGTAAAATAGGGATATTTAAAACTACTAATCAAATATTTTCCATTCCTTGTAGCTAAGCCCAAAGTGAATGTGAAGCCATCTGTGGTCAAAGTGGTCTCTTCCCCCAAAGTGGCCCCCAAGCGCAAGGCCGTGGAGATGCACCCTGCCGTCATCGCCGCGGTGAAGCCGCTCAGCGCCAGCGGGGGCCTGCAGGAGAGCCCGGCCAAAAAGGCAGCCATGGTGAGCGCGGTGCTTACGGTCTCCGTGTGGGAACGCTGGGAAGATGGTCTCTCCCGCCACAGCCGTGTGTGATGCTTTCTGCCATTCTATTTGTTTAGTTGTTACTGTATTTTATGTTTACTGTCAGACATTTGTGAAGTGGCAGGGTAGGTTTTTGAAAGCTAATTTTTGGGCTCTTAAAATATTTTGCTTATTTGTACACCCAACCTTTGGATTATTTACTCGTGATTCCCAGGATTAAAGAAAGATAGCCATGATTCTAAGAAGGTGGCCAAAGAAAGTGAATGTGCTCACATTAAAGAGCCTGGCTCCCCCACTGACTGCCATTGCTCTCCTTTCGTAGGCTGTTGTTCCGCTCCTTTCTGAGGACAAAGCAGTCACCGTTCCTGAGGCAGAGAGACCCAGAGACAGGTAATAATACCTGGCAGTTCTTTCAAATCAACCTTAGGCCACTACTGTTGTTTATGCTCTCTAGAGAATAAAACTACTAAATAATTTTAAGCATGTACAATTTAGCCATATCTAAATTAGTCTGCTGAACTTGAAATTAATTTTAAGAAAACAATGCTCAGGGCTGCTATTCTCCTTAGGTGCCATTGTTTATATTTTGCCTGTGTTATTTCAAAAATGTTTTGAAAGCCTGCCTGAATTCTGCTTTAAAGGGAAGATGCTTTGTCCTATTGAGTAAAACAATTCCTTTTGTGAGTCCTCAAATAACTCTTTGCTAATAACTCTGTATCACTGAGACTAGGTAGTCCAGCTGGTCATTGAAAAGGGACAGTTTTTAATAATCTCCTGGGTGTGTTTTTCCTTACAGTCTTGTGCTGCCTCCAGCCCAGTCCTCATCAGATCCCTCTCCATCAGAAGTCTCTGGCCCTTCCTCATCCCAAATGGCCACGAAAACTCGCCGACTCAGCACTGCTTCGACAGGAAAGCCCCCGCTCTCTGTGGAGGACGATTTTGAGAAGCTAATATGGGAGATTTCAGGAGGCAAATTAGAAGCTGAGATTGACCTGGATCCTGGGAAAGATGAAGATGACCTTCTGCTTGAGCTATCAGAAATGATTGATAGCTGAAGGTGATAGTAGGACATTTCAAACAAAAACAAAAAAAAACTCACCAAAAAACTGCACTTAGTTTCATCTATTATAACATTTACCCAAGATGATCATTTCTTTAGTCTAGAATTTGCCCCAGATCAGAAGTATACCTCTGAATTACTTGTATATGTCCTAGATTCCTTGGGGTCAGATTTTTAATGTCCCTTGATAACCATTTTGTCCATTTGATGCCAATGTTTAGCATCTTCAAGAAAAAGTTCTTTCTTACCCCTCTCTCCACAAAAAGACAGAGAGAGATCCAAGTGAAAGGATGCAAGAGAACTTGGTGACTCCTTGAGGTGTTTGTCAGTTTTGGCTTTTTCCCCTTTGTTATATTATTTTATGTATTAATGTGCTTACTGTTACCTGAGTTTGGAAAGGATGAAGACAGCTGCTACCAGAAGGACCAAATTTCATGCTACCACTAAACAAAACAATTCATTCAGTCTGTGTTAAATTGTATGTCTTTTTTAAAGTATTTGGAGATTCGTCTAAGCTTTAGAGCTGAGCAGCTCAGGAAGCCTGTAATCTGGACATAACCGTTTGGACCCGATTTTCATGTTTCTACTGCTGAGTAAGCCTCTGAAGATCAATAGCTAATTTATTATTACTGTAATTTTTTAAGGCTTTAAAGTGCCTCAGGGGTTCTCTGAAATTAATTTTCTATTTCTGGGATTCCCTGGATTCTTATTAAGAGATGGTGACATAACGATTAGAGGAATTCTCTTTTTAGTATGAAAGTTGTCCCTTTTCTTTAGTCCTTGCCTCCTACTGGCATTGAATTATCACAGGAATAAAAATTGGTTAATTTTATATTTCTAATTCTCCCAGCAAACTCCTCTTATCCAGTATTTATTTGGTGTCCTGTAACTGTCAGGGGGGAAATGAACGCACTCGAGCTGCCAATATTTATGTGTGGACTGTAGCAGGACAATGACTTGTACTACAAGAAGGGATTATTTGAGATGTTCTGGAGGTGTATTGTATACCGTCCAGTTTTCTTCATTTCTGAACTGAATTTTCTTTCTTTGATGTTGGTCTCCCACCTTCATATCACCTCAAGGTTTAGACTGTGAACAGTATATGGGGCTAATAGTCTTAAAAGGAGACATATACATACTCGGAAGAAAGAGGAAAGAAGGACTTGTCCATTTTGATATTTTGCTGTAGGTGGCCAGTTTTGTTTCTCATAGGGGAATCTGACCCACCTGTCATGTTGGCTCCTAAGGAACTGCTATTGTAAGCGGCTCATCAAGAGTTGAACTTCATGTAGCCTTGTTGAGAATGTGGAAAAGGAAGAAAGCCACGGGACTGCCCATTCAGTCTTGGGAAGATCTGGATGATTCTGCACAAGCAAAAGTGACTTGAAATTTATGTATAGACACACCTCTATCAATCCATCTTCAGCTGACTGAATGTTGTATCATAGCCCTTCTCCAAAGCAGGGGTGGAATGTTTGGTTTCACCACAGATTTTCTACTCATTTCATTTCTGGAATCAACTTAGATTCCAGGTCTGTTTTGTATATAACCTTTATTTGCTTTTTAAATAATTTTGTTTCATATTTAAAGCCCTTGTATTAGTCAATGATTTATGTTCAGCATTGTTTGAACCATTTACCATTCATTACACAAAGAGAAATACTTATTTGTGTTTTAAATAAAACTGGTGTAGGAAAGTCTTGACATTGTGAGTTAAGTGGCCATACCTCATGTCAGCCTAGGATCTGCCTCAATAGTGGCCCCAATCGAAATGGTGTTGGCCTTTTGTGTAAGTGCTCCAATTTCACAGGTATTATTTGGCTTTAGAAATCTTTTACCAGGACATAACTGCCAAGCCTACCATAAGCTTGCTCAATATTAGTTACATAGACGTTAGTTGTATGTGAGGATTCTTTTCTGGTACTCGGCCATTATCATTGTAACTCAAGTAATGCCATTAAAATTCTTAAAGGAGAGAATGTTTATAAGGGATTTTAGATGGATTCAACAATTTAGAATTTTCAAGCATGAAGGCAATTAAAAATTTTAATTCTAGAAAGTCCAGTTTTTTCAGTAGTGTGCCAATATTTTGTTAGGGGGTTACATAAGAATTTGTTAGCCACCGAAGAACATAGTTTTTTTTTTCTTTGCCAAATAGTATTACCAGCAAGTTGAATCAGCTTTTCACAAAAAGCAAAACATTTATATTTAGTTTTGAGTGATGATTTGCAATTTTAAAAATAGGAAAAAAGGCCCAAATAATACAGTTTGGCTAAAGTCAAAAATTTCAAAATAGTTTGTGATTCCTATATTTGTCTCAAGATCAATGATTTCTAAAATTGTGGCCTTAACCTCAAATTCTAATGGGTCCTTTGATAGGTCCAGAACAGGTTTGTGTTTTTAAATACATTTGTGGGGGTGGGGGGGTATATATATTTTTTAATTGATTTCAGAGAGGAAGGGAGAGAGAGAGAAACATCCATGATAAGAGAAAATCATTGATCCGCTGCCTCCTGCAAGTCCCCCACTGGGATTTGAGCCCAGAACCCAGACATGTGCCCTTGATTGGAATCAAACCTGGGACCTTTTAGTTCACAGGCCAGTGTTTTATCCACTGAGCCAAACCAGCTAGGGCCATAGCTGCTTTTCATCTTGACCAATCTTGGAAACTAGAGATTAGACTGATGTTTAGTATAGTTTCAGAAATAAAGCTTATTCTATATTGGCCAAAGTTTTATGATCCTTTTCTAAAACTGGCTTCATGTTCCTGGAATGTTTTTACAATTCTTAAAAATATTTTCTTTGGATTTGTCAGTTTAGCAGCAGTAACTGAGGTTACCAATTGCTACCTCTTTAATAGGTAACATTTTTAAACTACTTAATATTTATTGATTAGTGTATACCTCTTTATTTTACATAACCATTTTGATACTAAATCTTACACTGGATTGAAGATCACTGCTTTTGTCTTCATGGTAGTGTCAAAGTGTGATCAGATTTAATGAGAAAGTACAGGCATATTCTTACGTGCAATTGGGTTCAATTCATTTCAAAAGCCTTTTTTTTCTTAAATCTTTGAAAGCTGCTCAATAATGGGTGCAAGTTTCCACAACCCACACATCTGACTGCATTAATTTTTTCAGATTCCATTTGAATTTTCTTAAAATATATTTTACTGAATTTTTTAATAGAGAGGAAGGGAGAGGGATAGTCAGAAACATAGATGGGAGAGAAACATCAATCAGCTGCCCTTTGCACGCCCCCCCACTGGGGATGTGCCCGAAACCAAGGTACATGCCCTTGACCAGAATGCCACCTGGGACCCTTCAGTCCACAGGCGGAGGCTCCACCCACGGAGCCAAACCGGTTAGGGCTCCATTTGAATTTTCAAAATGAGATAAATTAAGGGCATGAGCACAAAGAAAATACTTGACCATTTTCTTAGCACTGTAAAATAAAATGGACAAAGAATAAGCGATTACCTTAGATAAGAACAGCCATCTGGAATTTAAGAAATCAGGAGTCCCAATATTTACTGAGGGCCTATGAAAGTATTTAGATTTTGGTTGGATTTAACTGCTATGTTGTTGCTGTCATAGTTGATGACAGGAATGGGGAACCTTTTTTCTGCCAAGGGCCATTGGATATAACACCACCTTAAAAATTAGCCTGCTATGTTTGGTCAAATATTTAATTTACTAACTACTAATGCCTTGACAGGGCCAGACCAAATTATTTCACGGGCCTTATACAGCCCGCTGGCTGGATATTCCCCAACCCAGTCTATGGTAATGAGCAAAAAACAGTGTATTAAAACTTGGTATTGGCCTGTCCCTGGATGTTACTGTTTTTAGACTCTGATTTGTCCTTAGGAGTAAAGCAAAAATCTGCAGTTAAGAGTAAGGGTAAACAGCTCAGCCAAGTGGATTGAACTTTCTATGCACCAGGAGGTCACTGGTTCAATTCCTGGTCAGGGCAATAAAATCGTGTTTATTTTTTATTTTTTTTAAATATATTTTATTGATTTTTCACAGAGAGAAAGGGAGAGAGATAGCTAGAAACATTGATGAGAGAGAAACATTGACCAGTTGCCTCCTGCACACCTATTGGGGATGTGCCCACAACCAACGTACATGCCCTTGACCGAAATCGAACCTGGGACCTTCCAGTCCGCAGAGCAACACTCTATCCACTGAGTCAAACCGGTTTCGGCTCGTTTTTATTTTTTAAAGAGTAAAGGTAGCTGGATAGAGCATCGGCCTGTGGACTGAAAGGTCCCAGGTTCAATTCTAGTCGAGGGCATCTACCTTGGTTGCGGACACATCCCCAGTAGGGGTGTGCAGGAGGCAGCTGGTCTATGTTTCTCATCTATGTTTCTAAATCTCTATCCCTTTCCCTCTGTAAAAAAATCAATAAAATATAAAAAATAAAAATTAAAAAAGATTAAGGGAAAACAAAGTTCAGACTAAAGGCAGAGAAGGAAGAATGCTCAAATATAAGACAACTGCTTGTTGAACAGGTGGATAGATATAGATAGGTAGGTAGATAGTGGGGCAACACTGCATATATTTGAAGACCATTTATATTTCCTTTGCTATAAACTGATCACTTCCATTGCCAATTTTTATTTTGGGTCTTTGTATTAGATTAAATCTGACTGCAAATTCTTTCACATACTTCCTGTGAAGAGGTAGGCTCTATTTTCCAGCTCTGAATCTGGGCTGGGGTATGAATACTAGACTAGTTCCAGGCCTTTATGGGTAACTTCAGCCTTGGTTTTTGGAGTCCTAGTCTCCCTCATAGAAAAGCATACTGGTCTGACTCGGTGGATAGAGCATCAGCCTGCGGACTGAAGGGTCATGGGTTCAATTCCGATCAAGGGCACATGCCCGGATTGTGAGCTTAATCCCCAAAGCTTGGAGAAGCTTGCAGAAGGCAGCTGATCAGTGATTTTTATCGATGTTTATATCTCCCTCTCCCTCTCTGAAATCAATAAAAATATTTTTTAATAACTTTTAAGAATGAGAGATGAAATATCTATGATTAAACTAGATAAACTAGAAAGAACTCAAAAGACTCAAAGGAAAATATGAACAAACAGAAAGATATCATGTATTTAGATTAAAAAAATAATTCTAAGTTGTTCTAGAGTTTAATCACAGTGAAAATGCCAAAAGAATTTTTTTTTTTTAATTAGAGAAGCTAATTAAGTTTGTGAGGAAAATAACCAAGAATAGCTAGGAAAAAATTACCTACTTTTTAGTCCTACCAAGTAACAAAACATTACAAAGCTATAATGTTTTTAACAGTGATACTGGTCCATAAATAGATACAAAGATCAAATGAACAAAACTATATACATACACACATACTTGTTATACCGTATTTATAAATGTATTTTAAGTTGAATGGGGAACAGGGTGGTGTTTTGTAAAGATGATGGAAAACTGGGCAGCCGTCTGGAAAGTATAAAGGTGTTATCAATTCCAGGATACACGAGGATAAATTCTAGATTAAATCTCATTCAAAGGTTTAAATGTAAAACAGCAAAATCATTTTTTTATTTTTTAATATATTTTTATTGATTTTTTGCAGATAGGAAAGGAGAGGGATAGAGAATTAGAAAAATCGATGAGAGAGAATCATCGATCAGCTGCCTCCTGCACATGCCCTACTGGGGATGTGCCCGCAACCAATGTACATGCCCTTGACCAGAATCAAACCTGGGACCTTTCAGTCCATAGGCCGACGTTCCATCCACTGAGCCAAACCGATTAGGGTGCAAAATCATTTTTTAAAGCAAACCACTTCTGATAAGCTGTATAATCAGTCAAATGGTCACTTTTACGGATCAATCCCTAAAAGTTTAGGAATCATGACTTTAGGAACAAGAAAATGCAAAACAAGTAGCTAGGCATTTCTGGTGGAATAGCTAAACCAGAGTGTTCTGTCCTCACTGTCTCTGAATGCAGCAAATCTACCTCGTTTCCTCTGTGCACAACATGACCCTCTATGGCAGTGGTTCTCAACCTTTCTAATGTCGCGACCCTTTAATACAGTTCCTCATGTTGTGGTGACCCTCAGCCATAGAATTATTTTTGTTGCTACTTTATAACTGCAATTTTGCTACTGTTATAAATTGTAATGTAAATATCTGTGTTTTCGATGGTCTTAGGCTCTACAGCCTGTGCGTTGAGAACCACTGCTGTAGAGCCCAAGACCATCAGAAAACACAGATATTTACATTACGATTCATTAACGGTTCCTCATGTTGTGGTGACATTATGATTCATAACAGTAGCAAAATTACAGTTATGAAGTAGCAACAAAAATAAATTTATGGTTGGGGGGGCACCACAACATGAGGAGCTGTATTAAAGGGTCGCGGCATTAGGAAAGTTGAGAACCACTGCTCTACTGGGTTTGAGGCAAGACATTTTCTTAAAAGAAAAAATACCGTATGCATTTTCTTGCTCCCTACAGTTTAAAAGTCATTTTCATTTTATTTGATCTCAACACTTTTATGAGTTTGGCATTAATATTATTTATCCTCAAACAGAAGACCTCATTCAGTTAAGCAGGTTATGTTTCTGCCACTTGCCACTTGTCCGTTTAGACAAGTGCTTTATAACTCTGAGCTCCAGTTTCTTCACCTATAAAATGGATATTCCAAATAAATGAAATATCTGTCAGGCCACAAGCCCATGACATAACTTAATAAATTCCAGCTCTCCTTCTGTGTTACCCAGGAAATAATTAGGTTAACAGTGTTTCCCAAAGTGTGGTACTCGTACCCCCAGGGGTACGGGAAGAGTTTGGTGGCGGTACGCGTTGCACCGGAGTTTGGTGGGGATATGCACTGCACCATGCTTAGCTGTGCCTAATTCTACATTCTCATGAGTACGAGAGGTACTCAGCGTGACGAAAATTATAGAAGGAGTACACATATGTCAAAAGTTTGGGAAACAGTGGGTTAGAACATTGGGGCCTCTATATGTACGCACATACTTAGTATGTACACACATGCCATTTCCCTAAAACTTCCATGAGGAAGGAACGCTTGTGTCTCTATTTTGGTAACAACTAAGCCAAGATATGGCAAAGCTAAAGAACTGATCCTTGGTCATACACTACAAGTGAAATGGATTTGAGCCCTGCCATCAGATTTCAGGGCTTTCACGCTAAATTGCCGTGCTCTGTCGCCTCCTTGCAATAGCTCCCACAAAGATAGTAATTCATAATGGAGCAAACCACTACCGGCTAGCTTTTTAATCAGATTGTGGCTTGAGTGTCAGGTAAATTTGGGCTTCTTGCCGCCTTATCCTCTGCACCACAACACTGCCATCAAGCCTAAATTCCAAAGAAATAGGCTTTAGAAAAAATACTAAATCTTGGGTTTCAGCACCAAAAACAAACAGGAAAAGGAAAAATATTAAACCAACCCATTTTACTGAGAGAGTTTAGCAACAGGCTGATTTGTCTCTTAAGCTGTGGTACATTTACACCAGGGAATACTATGTAGCAATAAAAAGAAGGCTCTCTTACCCTTTGAGACAGCATGGAATGACCTAGAGAATATTATGCTAAGCGAAAGAAACTAGTCAGAGAAAGGCAAGTATCACATGATCTCATATTGGAATCTAATGAACAAAATACGATAAAACAAACAATAAGCTGAAACTGGTTTGGCTCAGTGGATAGACATCGGTCTGCGGATTGAAGGTTTGATTCCAGTCAAGGGCTGGATGCGGACACAACCTTGGTTGCGGACACATCCCCAGTAGGGGGTGTGCAGGAGGCACTGTTGTTTTTAACTGTTCCTTTCCTTCCTCTCTGTAAAAAAATCAATGAAATATATATTTTTAAAAACTGAACAAAATAGATCCAGAGACATAGAAGCATAAAACAGACCATGGAATCTCAGAGGGAAAGTGGGGAAGGGTGGGTGGGTAGGAAGAGATTAACCGAAGAACTTGGATGCATATGCGCATAACCCATGGACACAGACAATAGTGTGGTGAAGGTGAGGTGGGGTGGAGGGGGGGCGGGCGGGGAGGGAAGTCGGTTAGAAGTCGTCAATGGGGGAAAGGGGAACATGTGTAATACTTTCAACAATAAAGATTTAATATTTTTTAAAGCCACAGTGGCTAGTGTGGCTTAGTGGATAGAGTGTCAGCATGTGGACTGAAAGGTCCCCGGTTCAGTTTCAGTCAAGGGCACATGCCTAGCAGGAGTTCATGATTCTCGCCCATCATCGATGTTTCTATTTCTCCCTTACTCTCTGTAATCAATAAAAAATATATTAAGGTGTGGGGGAGCTCAGAAAATGGAGACACAAACAGGCGGGTGTCTCCCCCGCCTCCCTCCAGATGGCCGACGCCCGTTCCGGAACGCGGTTGCCTCCCTTTGGCCTCCCGCGGAGGCCACAGAGCACCGAGAAAAGCTAGAGAAGCACTTCCCAGGAACTGCGCCGGCCGCTATGCCAGCGCCGCGCACTTCCGCTTCCGGTTCTTTCTTCCCGGAGTGGCTCGGGGGCTAGCGTGGGGCTCCGCGTGGTCTTTGTTAGCTTCCACCATGGCGTACCGCGGCCAGGGCCAGAAGGTGCAGAAGGTGATGGTGCAGCCCATCGTATCCTACGCAGGATGTTGGGACCGGGAGGTTCGGGCCGGAAAGCGGGGCGGGAAGGCGGGCCGCGGGCGCGGAGGAGCGGTGTGCGCCTTCCACTTCCCGTGAGCCCCCGCGGCGCCGCGGCCCGCCAAGGCGCGGGGCCGGGAGCAGGCGGGGGGCGGCGCGGGCAGGCCCCACCGGGGGCCGCGAGGGGTCGGGAGGGGGGACAGAGGGGCGCTGTTTTAATAGTCACTGTGAGCCAGCCGGAGGTGTGGGTTTGGGGGAGGGGGAGGGGAGGGAAAATGGCGCCAAGGGAAACTCCTGGAGTGAGAGAGAGGAGACGGTCCGGCAGAGCATTGAGGTCTAAGGAAGGCCTAGTTGGGTGCTTCCCGTGGCGTAGGCGCCAAGACCTCGAAAACATTCGCGGGGGGTTAGCCAGTGACCGGTTCCTGGGAGCAGAGAGTATGTCGTGCGTGTTGCTTTCTCTTTAACCTTCGGTGCAGAACCTCATCTTCAGATACTTGCAAAATGTACGTAAGTTGTTGTGTCGTTAACTTGTTTCCTCGCCCTGTCCGGTCACTGTGTTCTGCAGTTAAAAAGAGGGCATTGTGGAGGTGGGGTGTGTTCGAGGGGAAGGGGTGCAGGGAAAGTCGAAGGGGATACAACGGTGCGGAGCCATGGTAACTGCGAGCACGTAAAGAATTGTGTTGATGTTTTGCAAGACCAAAAAGTACTCATTTCAGAAAGTCGTTATTGGCGGACGTGTCAGGGGAGTGGTGGGTATCGGTACTTTTGTTGGGGGTGATGATGGCCAGAACATTGGCCCTTTTCTCCTCCTTTCCCCTAGGCCTAGGGTGAAACGTTGGGAGGACAATTCCGTTAGCTTTAAACCATATAATAAAGGAGTGGTTTTAACACGTAGAGGGAAAGTCAGGTATAGAACAGATACTCCAAAAGGAAGAAGGGAGGGATAGGGTTAGAGGACTTAAGGGACGGCCTGCTTTCCTTTGGGGGATATTTAGCAGCAGAGTCTGCATTGGCAATACAGAGTGTTTGAATTATCTCTGAAAGAAAATGCAATGCCTTTTGCCCTGACAAATTTTAATGTGTGACAACACAATTGAAAAGCATTAATTTCAAGCTGTTGTAATTTTTATGTTTTTTAAAAATTTTTATTGATTTTTTTTTACAGGCAGGAAGGGAGAGGGGTAGAGTCATAAACATTGATGAGAGAGAAACATCAGTCAGCTGCCTCCTGCACATCCCTCATTGGGGATGTGCCCACAACCAAGGTACATGCCCTTGACCGGAATCAAACCCGGGACCCTTGAGTTCGAAGGCCGACCCTCTATCCACTGAGCCAAACCATCCAGAGCTGTTGTAATTTTTAATCATCAGAATTGAAGGTTTCTCTTCTGGTTATTAAATGTGAGGCCAGGAAAATTGAGAAACTAGAGTAAGCTGTTTTAGAGCTGGATTTTATTATAGCACTTAAGAAAGACGACCTTGGTCTTTGAAATTTATTGCTTTGTGCTCTACTGATACCAATCTTTAAATGTATTGAAACTAGAAACAGTAAAAAATATGATTGAGTCCCAAGTTACAGGAAGATTAAGGTGTCTAGCTTGGGACTGTCTGGTCCAGTGCAGCATTTATTATATGAGAATGTTTCTTGTCAAGTAAGTAGTCTTGGTTACCAATTCTGATATGAGCCAAATGGTTAAAACTCTCGGTTTTTATTTAATTTATTTTAGTTTTTTTAAGGAACCATATTTCTCTAATGTTTGAGCAGTGATTGGATTTTGTGTACTTTTTAACATTTCTATTTTTATGATTATTTCAGAGATCTCGCATTCAGGTGTGGCTTTATGAGCAAGTGAATATGCGGATAGAAGGCTGTATCATTGTGAGTACCCGGGATATTTTATCCAGGGCAGTTTGTTCTAAAAAAAGATCTCACCAAAAAGAAAAAGATTTCACAAAAAATGGCCAGCCAGAGCAGTCAAAGACCCAACCCAAGGAAAGTGATTTTGGGGCCCATTGCCCTTGCCTGCTTGTTTTACCTGATAGAGATTGGGTAATTCATAAAATAGAAGGAAGATTAATTTTAAAAATAATCTAAACCACATGACCTCACTCATTTATGGATAATAAAAACATTATAAACTGATGAACCAAAAGATAGATATAGAGACAATAAAGCGACAAGCAGACTCAAATTACAGTGGGGAAGGTAGGGAGATCTGGGGTAGATAAGAGATCAACCGAAGGACCTGTATACATGCATATAAGTACAACCAATGGACACAGAACTCTGGGGAGGAAGGGCATGTATGGGGGGGGGGCAATGGTATATGTATACAGTTAATAATTTAATAAAATAATAATCTAAATATTTGAAGGAGAGGGATAAAAAAATTAGAGGGAGTTGAGATTGATGGAGCACAATCTGGGTTAGGCCATACCTGATGGAGCTGAATCGAATTAGTTAAATAAGATTATTAGTTAAAAAATACCTTGAATAATGTTTTTTGAGATGGGTTTTTGTGTGTGTGTTGTTGTTTTTTGTTGTTTTTTTTTTAAATCCTCACCCAAGGATATGTTTTACTGATTAGATTGATGTAAAAAAGAAACATCTATTGGTTGCCTCCTATGTGCACCCCTACCAGGGATTGAACCTACAACCTAGGTACCATGTTTCCCTGAAAATAAGACCTAGCGCAACTTTGGGAGAAAAAATTAATATAAGACACTGTCTTATTTTCAGGAAAACAGGGTATGTGCCTTGACCGGAATCTAACCCATAACCTTTTTGGTGTGTGGGACAGCACTCCAACCAACTGAGCCACACGGCTGGCGCTTAAGTAATGTTTTTTTGTGTGTGTGTGTTTTAATGTGTATTTTTATTGATTTCAGAGAGGAAGGGAGAAAAATAGAAATATCAGTGATGAGAGAGAATCATTGATCGGCTGCCTCCTGCACACCCCCTACTGGGGATTGAGTTTGCAAACTGGACATGTGCCCTGCCTGAATCAAACCGTGACCTCCTATCCTGGTTTGTAGGTCGACACTCAACCTTTGAGCAGCACCATCCGGGGTTAAGTGATATTTTAAAGAAAGATGAAATATGACTGAAAATTTGCCCTTTAGGCAGCACAGATTTATTTAATAATCCTACTTTCCCTGTTTATTAGTTGAAAAGCAAGAGTGATGGTTAGTGGTGATAGTGTTTTGTGGGGAATGTGGGAAAAGCAGTGGTAGAATGTAATTTATTCTTGTACACACATACTGTATATTGAATAGGTTATAAAAGTTAGGGAGATTGGCTCTTTGGCATAGCTAATGAATTTAAGGCCAAAAGGTTCCAGATCTAATGGAATGTGTTCTGGCTTTCTTTGTTATTTAAAAAGGCTTAGAGTGGAAGGGGGTTCTTCCTCTGAAAGGTCAGTAAAGGGATGAATTTCTGAAGTTAGTTGGCATTTCTGTATCTAAATGGGTATGTTTATTTAGAACTAGAGAGGCCTGGTGCACAAAATTCGTGGTGGGGGGGGTGTCACTCAGCCCAGCCTGCACCCTCTCCAATCTGGGACTCCTTGAAGATGTCCGACTGCCCATATAAGCCCGATGCTGGCTCCCAACCTCTTGCCTGCCTGATTGCCCCTAACCACTTCTGCCTGCCAGCCTGATCCCCTACTGGCCTGATTGACGCCTACCTGCTCCCCTGCCGGTCCTATTGCCCCTAACTGACCTCTCCTGCTAGCCTGGTTGCCCCCAACTGCCCTCACCTACAGGCCTGGTCTCTCCCAACTGCCCTCCCCTGCCAGCCCTGTCACCCCTAACTGCTCTCCCCTGTAGGCCTGATCACCCCAACTGCTCTCCCTTGCAGGCCTGTCCCTCCTAACGGCCCTCTCCTGCTGGCCATCTTGTGGTGGCCATCTTGTGTGTTGGAGTAACAGTCTATTTGCATATTACTCATTAGATAGGATGGTTTGAATGTGATCTTAAAGATGACAGTTAATGCTTGTTTTTTTAGGGTTTTGATGAGTATATGAACCTCGTATTAGATGATGCAGAAGAGATTCATTCTAAAACAAAGTCAAGGAAACAACTAGGTAAGAATATAGTCTTACAGAATTTTAGAAATTTTTATTCACTTGCAGAATTGAATAATTTGCAACTTAGTTCATGTTTACATTTAGTTTGCCCTTGGAAAGTTGTATTTGGTCGGGGGAGAGGTTACATTTAAAATCATCCTCTGTCTATTCCACACCATTTCTACTTCTGCCACTTCACTCAACTAGTTCTCACCAATGTTACAAAGACTAATGGAGTTAAATCTAATGGTCATTATCAGTCTTCATTTTACTGTCTGAACAGCGTTTGGCCACTCCCTTTTTAATATATTGTTCCCTTGACTCTGTGATACTATACACAGGTTTTCATTTATAGTTAACTGTTCCTTTTCACACTTCTGTATGTTCTTTCTTTGGGACCCGATCATTAAATGTTTAAATTGCTCAAAGCTTTTGGTTGTAGTCCCTCCTGTTTTTCTTAGGCACTCAAGACTACACCTTCAGTTACCGTATATATATATATATATATATATATATGTCATCACAACATTTTGGTTAATGATGGACTGCATATACCATGGCGGTATACCATAGAGCATAGTGTGTAAATGCACTTATGCTTGCACAACTCTGAAATCACTTAATGACTACATTGACTCTAAATTTACCTCTCAGAGCCTGTTAAACATTTCTACTGGAATTGAATGTCTCAACGCTCCTCAAAGTTAGCATATCAGAAATCAAAGTCAGTCCCTACCCCTCATGCTTTGAGAGCTGTTTCAGTGTTCCCTGCCTCATTGATAGCACCAATTTCTCTTCTGTTTGCTAATTGATTTCTCTTCAGCTACCTTATCCTTCTCCAGTTTGCTCCTCGGGCTGCACTAATGTCTTAGAAACACCAATCTGACCTTGTCATTCCTTTGCTTGATGTCCTTCCTTCAATGGCTTCCTGCTGCTTGTAGGATAAGAAAGTTTTTAATGTATTCTGCAAGGTTCTTTATGATCTGTGCTTGTCTCCATCTGCTCTTGCTTCATTTTCTGAGCTTCATCCTCATTTGTCTTTTCTTTTCCCCAGTTCTTTGAATCTGCACATTTACTCTACCATAAATCTTTGTATATCCTGCTCCTTGTGTCTTTAGGACTCACATGAGATGTCACCTCCTTCCGGAGTTTGGTTTGGTTTTGCTTGGAATGGGAATTGGGCGGATCTTATCACCCAAGATCCAAATGTGCGGGTGCACAGACAGGGTGTGCTGTGCTCTTTGAGTTTGTAGTAAAGCATTCATTAGTGGGTATTATTTTATTAATTTCTCCCCCGCTGGACCAGATCTTCCATAAGTGCATGCATATGTCCCATCTTTTTTGCTCCTTAATAAGCTCAGTGCCTAGCATGTAATAAAACCTGAACAATGATCAATGAACCCAATTTCTTAACCCAATTAACAGAAGGTCTTTAGGGTTTATGGTTTCAACAAGAATAACAATCATTTTTATCAAAATCCCATTAACTTAGGTTTATGTAGGCATTTCGTGTTTTTAGTTGCTTAATGCCTGTTCATAGCTCACTAGGACTTTATCAGTGGTGAGCTTCGGTGTCTCTCTTCTGGACCCTGAGGATTCTCTTGAGCCCACTCTGAGTATGTGGAGAGTAGTTTCTGAAAGTGTTAGATTTTGCTCTGCTTAGGCTGTTTTTGTGAAAGCCTAGATTTTTAAAATTTAAACATGTATCAGGAAAGGCAAACTAGTGTTATGGACATATTATTTATAAATAATTTATGAAATGTTAAATTCCCATAGTAGTGTCTTATAAATGTAGAAAATAATATTACTACTTGTAGTGGAAGCCTGGGAAAGGGAAATAATTTGGTTGATTTGCATTTCTCAAACTGTTTTTACTGAACACCAGTGTTCCTGAAGATATTTGTAGATATTTCTCAGGGAAAAAAGTATCCTTTGCTCAAATGGGTTTAGGAATTGTTGGGTGAAACTTAAGCAGGTATGTTTATTGAATGATGAAATCTTCAACATACTAAGAGCTCTAGGAATTGGTTATAGTCTGCTGCATTTTCTAAACTTGACATACAACTAATTTCACAACTTCTGCAAACACTGAGCATTGGGAAATGTTGGGGTAGACCTATTTAGTTAACTTAGTCTACAGAAACTGTACTTTGCATAAAATAACATTTCTCTACCTTCATTAAGTAATAGTTAAAAAGTGCATATTGCTCTAATTTATTCACTTTTAATTTTGTGTTGCAGGTCGGATCATGCTGAAAGGAGATAATATTACTCTGCTCCAAAGTGTCTCCACCTAGAAATGACTTGAATGCTAAGAGAGGAGTTACTGAGAAACAATATAGTTTGTGTTTATGGTGTCCTTTGTTTGGAGAATATGTCTTACCCATTTATTCATATTTGCTTACAATAACCTTAAGTAACTACTAGATGACAATAAATGATGTTGAATTGTTTTTGTTAAAAAAGTTTATATTGTTTCTTTCTAGCCAATCGAGACTTACATAGTGGCACCATTAGCCAGCTGTTAGTATTTTAGTTTTCTGAAGGGTGGCTCTTGGCCTGGCACTTGCTTTTCACATAGCCAGATCTCTAGATTCTTAAGGCAAAGAGTAGGAATTCTGTTTGACAGGTAAGCTTCTGATATTGGGTGGAAGAGAACAGGGGGTTCACAAAAATAAAGGCAAGTGTACTATTATATGTCTTTATCATCAGTTCTAATTGCGGGTGCTGGAACTACAGTTTCTAACCACAATAGGTTGGCGATATAACATCTACAGTATTTAAAAATAGAGTCATTGTATGAGGCCTTTTCTATTTTATCACCAAGATCCGAATGTGAGAAGTACTTGGGTTTAGGCAAAGAATGAAATCCCTTCAAGGTACATTTAAAATGAGCTCTGTTAAGAGTTAACAAGAGGGACACTGGGTTTGATAACCTGAAAAAAAGACCATAAGCAGCTCTGGGAAGTTAAGTGGAATAATAAATCATGTTAGTTGGAAAAACACCTGTCTCTTCTCCAAGAATGTTGGTTCCTCCCCCAATGATTGCTTATTTTTCTAATGGAATCGTGTGGACGGATCTCTCCTTCCACAGTATCTCAGGATGGTTCTAGTCAGAATCCTGTTAAACAGCTGTGGAGCACCTTCTGTTAGACACAAAGTTAAACAACGAAACAGGCTGGCAAATAGCTTCAATACCATGCGTTGCGTACTATTTAAAATGGATCTAAAGGATGGGATAGGCCTACCTTAAAACTCTGGTAATGGGCAGTATTAAGTGGAGGTGAGGAAGGACCAAGAAGTTCATTTCCTGTTTTTCTTTAAACTGAGTAAAAGAAACTCTGTGAAGAAGATTTGTAGGTGAGTAGAGACCTAACTTACAACTTGGCATTATAGCTGTTCCACTACTATTTGACCTTTTGCTCTCGGTAATATTTTTAAATAAAGGGCTGTTTTAGCTCTTAACTTTGGATCTGAAATTCATTGAACCTGCCGCAGCATGCAAAGGAAACAGCGGGCAGCAGAGGGAGCTGCAGTCCTGAGCCTGCACCAGCCTTTCTGGTGGCAAGCTGCCTGAGAGCAGAGAGCAGAGGCTGCAGCTTTCTTGGCACCAACGTGGCTGGAAAGAAGGATAAAGGCTGGAACAATGTAATCCCTAAGAAAACATGCCGGCTGCTGCTTCCATTTCCTCGTGCGACCCTTCTGACCTGGCTGCCCAGTGTAAGCAAAACTGCCTGCTGTGGCTTACTGAATGGATCAAGATGTGAAGGTTCTGTTTTTGACAGCAAGTGATGATAGTGAGAAATAAGGTGCAGTCGAATTCTTACAATTGAGTTCTGTACTTAGAGATCTGCTTGCTTTTGTGTTCTACCATAATCTGTGGTGTTTGCTTTTTAAGTTGTACTTTTCCACAGTCTAGATTTTTTTTTCCTTCCAACTAGATTTGTAACAGGAGGCATTGCGTTTTCCTGCATTAAGGTTGTTAAAGCATGCTGTGAGAAGCTGCTCTTGTTGGCAGCCCTTGGTAAGTGAGCGGTTACTTTTCTGGAATGGCTGTTGGTTCCCAAGGGGGTTTTCTAACCAACCACTAACTCTCTTGTAACATTGTTGAAGAGGGGAGGAGAAAAAGTAGACTGGGCTTGGTGTTCCTTCAGTACATGGATGGGGAACCTTTTTTCAGCCAAGGACTGTTATAACATTCACGGGCCATACAGAATTATCACCTTCAAAATTAACCTGCTGTATTTGGTCAAATATTTAATTAACACCCCTAATAGTTTGGCAGGGCCAGACCAAAGATTTCTTGGGCCCTATATTGCCCACAGGCTGGACGTTCCCCACCCCTGCTTTAATAGGTGGGGAGACGGAAGGATAAAAATGGTGTGAATTCTCTAGGATTTTGTGTTTGCATGGGCACCAGTATTGCATTTGTCAGTCTCAGGATTAGAGAGTGGCGCTCTCATTTGGATAAGGCATTACTGGGTGGGAAGTGTCATGGGCAGTACCTGGAGTAAGCCTAATAGGCAGTATCTAATGCTAACTGACACAGGAGCTTTTTAAAAATTAATTATTCCTTCTAGAACTAATGATAACTACTTATTAAATGCTTTTGCAAGGAGATGAGATGCATGGTAAAATTTCTTAAGTTGGCATGAGAATTTAAGTCTTGTCAGTGCCTATAGTTTAATTTTTTTGTTATTCCTCACTCAAGGATATTTTCCCACTTGATACCCCCCCCCCTTTTTTTTTTAGAGAGAGAGGGTGGAAGAGAGCGAGGAAAGAGATGTGAGAGAACGGTTGGTTGCTTCCTGCACATGCTCTAACCGGGCCTGGAATCAAGTCTGCAACTGAGTTTTGTGCTCTTGGACAGAATCAAGTCTGAAACCCTTCAGTCTGTGGGCCAATGCTCTAACCACTACCAAACCGGCTAGGGTTAAGAGTTTAATATTAATTTAAAATATGTCCAATGGAATTTTAAAAAAGTGAATTTAAAAATATTAGCTTACTACATGTTTATGATAAAAATGCAAACAGTATAGAAAGATACAAAGTAGAAAACAAGTCTTCCTTTCCCATCAGTATTTTCCATTGATAATCACCCAAAAATTTGATGGTTATTTCTTTAAAAAAATTTTTTTTAAGTTTGGTAAAATGTACATGCTATTTACTATTTTAACCATATTTAGTTGTACAACTCAGCAGTGTTAAGTTTTTTACATTGTTATACAGCCAGTCTAGAACTTTTTCATTTTGCAAAACTGAAACTCTGTACCAATTAAACAACTCACCATTTCTCTCCTCCAGCCCATGGCAACCACATTCTACTTTCTGTTTCTGAGTTTGACTTCTATTTTTATAAATATAATTATGTTTTATTTATTTATTTATTTATTTTTTTAATAGAGAGGAAGGGAGAGGGAAGGGATAGAGAATTAGAAACATTGATCAGCTGCCTTCTGTACACTCCTCACTGGGGATGTGCATGCAACCAAGGTACATGCCCTTGACTGGAATTGAACCTGGGACCCTTCAGTCTGCAAGCTGACACTATCCACTGAGCCAAATCGGTTAGGGCTGAATTTGACTATTTTAGATACTTGCCACATTTTGTTTATACATTCAGTTGTCAATTGATACTTGGGTTGCTTCTACTTTTTGATTATTGTGAAGAATACCGCTATGAACCTGGGTATACAAATATCTCTTGGAGATCCTGCTTTCAGTTCTTTTGAGTATATCCCCAGAGTGTTTTTGAGGAATAGCTGCTGCAACATTTTACATTCTTACTAACAGTGCACAGAGGTTCTCGTTTCTCCCCATCCTCGTCAAAACTTGTTTCTGATTGCAACCGTCCTAATGGTTGTGAGGTGGTAATCTCATTGTGTTTTGGTTTGCTTTTCCCTAACAGTGATGTTGATTATCTTGTCATGTGTTTATTGGTTATTTGTATATCCTCTTTGGAAAAACGTCTTAAGAGTTCACTGCCCGTTTTTAAACAGATTATTTTGTTGAGTTAAAAGAGGTTTTTTACATATTTTCTCCCATTTTGTGGGTTGCTGCGTTTTCACTCTTTCAAGGCACAGTCTTAACTTTAATGTGATTCAGTTCATCCGTTTTTACTTTTGTTGCATATGCTTTTGGTATCATAGGTATTTTTGTTTCTTTGTGATGACATACTTCTGCAGTTCGGTTCTTATCAACAAAACTTGGACATATTTTCTTATTAAACAGCTGAGATGTATTCTGTTGTATGAATCTCTTACTATAAGTATTCACCCACCCCCATTGATGGATATTTTAGGCTGTTTCTGATTTTTTTGTTAAAAGTTTTGTAATCATATCTTTATACCTGTTTTTCTCTCAGGTTTTCTGTGATAATAGTTTTTAGAAGTGGAATTGCTAGATCAAAGGATATACACATTTAAAAATTCTATAGGTATTCTAAATTGCCTTTGAGAGTACAAATTGGAAAATTAATTTTCTCATACAAGCGAACCATTAGGCAGCAGGGTTTTTTTGTTGTTGGATTTTTTTGTTTTTTTGTTAGTACTCACCCAAGGATATTTTTCCATTCATTTTAGAGAGAGTGGGAGGGATAGGGAGAGATAGAGAGAAACATTGATGTGAGAAAGACATGGATTGGTGGCCTCCTGCACACCAGGGATTGAGCCTGCAACCAAGGTAGGTGCCCTTGACGAATAGAAACAGTGGCCTTTCAGTCTGCAGGCTGACACTCTATCCACTGATCCAAACAGGGTAGGGTTAGGCAGCAATTTTAATGAAATGCTCAGGCTTATTGTGAGGCAACTGTGAAATAATAACTACCAGTATCGTAAGGAATCCAGAATAGGAAGGGAGGGGGGGACATTGATTACTTCAACCACTGAATTAATCAGCTCCGCAATTTCCCTACCATTGACTTGTTATGTGAGGAAAATTCCCTAGTTGAATTTTTTTTTTATTGTAACTGAGAAAATGTCAGAATAGTGATACCTGTCTTTAGTAACTCTTAAGCTTGGAAGGGGATTAGTTCGATGAATTGTTAAATGCCAAGGTTGTGTAAGTTGGCAACTGAAGCGAAAATATTAGGCTATATGGGGGCATGCAGGTGAAGTGATGTGACTGGTTTTTGTTTTTTGGGGTTTTGTTTGTTTTTTGTGTGTGTGTGTGTGTGTGGTTTTTTGTTGTTGTTTTTCTCAGTATAACAGTAAACTTCTTCCTTAGTTAAAATAATTCCAGAGAAAGATGATCTTGAGTCATCATTCCATGTCCAAAGAAGCTGCTGTCTCTGGAGTGTTAACAGATTAGCCTGGCCCCCAGGGCCATCCTAAGTTACAGATGTTTTGCTGGGCTGGAAAATTGCACAAGGGAACTGGAGAGAATAAGCTAATGAATGCCTTTTCCTGGTGGACTGTTAGTAAACTAGAAAGAAGGTGGACAACCAGAGAGAAGATTATTTTTCCCAGAAAAGTAGACTTATTTTTTAAAATCATTTTTTATTTTTCAATTACAGTTGACATAGAATATTAGTTTCAGGGGTATATCCCAGTGATTAGACATTATAAAACTTACTAAGTGATTGTCCCCAAAAATCTCTTACCCACCTGACACCATACCTGCTTATTAGAAGATTACTAATTATATTCCCTATGCTTTACATTACACCCCATGACTATACTAGAACTACTAATTTGTACTTCTAAATCCCCTCATCTTTTTCACCCATTCCCGCAATTCCTCTCCCATCTGGCAGCTATCAAAATGTTCTCTCTGAGTTTTCATTTTGCTTGCTCATTTATTTGATTTTTAGATTCAGTTATTGATGGGTATATACTAGTATTTATTGCCATTTTCTTTATCCTATTCATGATTTTTTTTTCTTTTTCTTAAAAAAAACACATTTCTTGTAATACTGGTTTGGTGGTGATAAACCCCTTTACCTTTCTCTTGTTTGGGAAGCTCTTTATCTGACCAATTCTTGATGATAGCTTTGCTGGGTAGAGTAATCTTGGTTGTAGGTCCTTGCTGTTCACACTTTGACTATTTCTTGCCACTCCCTTCTGGCCTGCAAAGTTTCTGTTGAGAAATCAACTGAGAGTATCATGGGAGTTCCCTTGTAGGTAACTAAGTGTTTTTCTCTTGCTGAAGGATTCTCTTTGTCTTCAACCTTTGGCATTTTAATTACCCTATTTTCCGGTGTATAAGACGACTTTTGAAACGAAAAAAGCCTAGTAAAAAGCCTGCTTGGATTGGCTGAGTTAGAGAGGCGGTCTATTTAAAAAAAGAACTGGTGTTGCCTCAGAAGTGGGGGGTAGTCTTATACAGCGAATATAGGCCTAAACCTGTTTTAACTGTAAAATTAGGGGTCGTCTTATACGCCGGAAAATACGGTATGTTGTGTCTTGGTGTAGGCCTCTTTGGGTTCATCTTATTTGGAATGCTCTGGGCTTCCTGGACTTGTATATTTTTTTCGCCAGGTAAGGGAAGTTTATGTCATTTTTTCAAATAGGTGTTCAATTTCTTGCTCTCCTTCCGGACCCCCCAATGAGGTCAATGTTGGTGCCCTTGAAGTTGTCCCAGACTCCTTACACTATTCTATTTTTTAGATTCTTTTTTCTTTTTGCTGTTCTGGTTGGGTATGTTTTGCTTCCTTATAGTCCACATTCTTGATTTGATTCTCGGTGTCCTCTATTGTTGATTCCCTGTAACTATTCTTTATTTCAGTTAGTATATCCTTCATTTCTGAATGGTCCCTTTTTTTATGTTGTTATTCTCAGTAAGTTCCTTGAGATACTTATAACCATTGTTTTGAACTCTGTGTCTGCTAGTTTACTTGATTTCATTTCATTTAGTTCTTTTTCTGGAGATTTCTCCTGTTCTTTCCTAGGTCTTTAACCAAGACTCAGCTCACCCTTAGACTCCATCCCTGCCCATATATAGTCTGCTATCAATCTTAATAGTCTAGTACAAGAAACTACCTGGGAGGGCCACCCAGGTACCCCCGGTACATACTAAACAAAGAGAAATGGTTGGATCCCACTATATATGGCAGTGGGACTGTCTTAAGACCAGAGGCCCAGAGGGGACTAAAACCCCTTACTCACAAGTTTTTTCAGCATAGAGTTATAAATTCTTTGTCAATCTTCTTATAACACTCCTATACTGTCTGTTAAAAAAAAGCAAAAAAACAGCCGGGACTGGTTTGGCTCAGTGGATAGAGCATCGGCCTGTGGACTGAAAGGTCCCGGGTTCAATTCTGGTCAAGGGCATGTACCTTGGTTGCGGGCACATCCCCAGTAGGGGGTGTGCAAGAGGCAGCTGATCGGTGATTCTCTCTCATCGATGTTTCTAACTCTCTATCCCTCTCTCCCTCTCTGAAAAATCAATAAAATATATTAAAAAAACAAATACAAATGGAGAGTATCGAATGGTTAAGCTATTGTTGAAGCTGTGATTCTCATTCACCACATTGTACCCAATCCATATACTCTCTTATCCCAAGTTCCTCATTAGGCCAAATGGTTTACTAGATTTCATTGTTTTGCATCCTGCATCACCCAGATAGCCTCTGTTTGCCTTGGAATTGGCGTGTGGGACACCCATAACAGCTCAATAGACTCAGCGTGTCCTTACTCAATGGTTCTATAGTCCGCATATTTTTGGACAAGCACTTGGAGAAAGTCTGCAGGAACTAGAGCTACTGGGTGGGATCATAATATGTGAATGATAATTAATTTTTTAGCCCCACCAAACAGAACTTTAACCATAACACTACCTTAGTCCTTAATTTCCTGGGGGAAAGGGATACCCAGTGTCTCCCAATAAGGTTCAGAGTTCCTCCTCAACTGCAGATATTTAGGCTGCCACCTAATCCAGGTTCTTGGAACAAAAAGGCTATTCTAAATCTTGCAGTCTCCCAGACAAAGACACAATTGAGAACCTTCTTAGGAATGGTGGGCTTCTGCCAAATCTGGATCCCCGGTTTTGGCTGGTGGCTATGTCCCTAGCCAGTAGCTTACTTTTCAAAACAGACTGTGGCAATGGAATGGCAGAGCTGCCCATGGCAATATCGGCAACTGCCTTGTTAACTGAAGAAGCCATTGAGCTGACACCAGGCCAACTGTAGGAGTCCAAACTCCACATCAGGTTCAAATTGTCCTTGTGGCGCAAGGACACCATGGGCTAATGGGAGGCCCTTCTCTTAGATTCCCTGAGCTCACCCTACAAGTATGTCAAACCCTAAGAGTGGCTACCGTAATTGACTTCTTACATGCCTGTGTTGAAACTATTGAGCAGGTATTCTCCAGTAGAGCTGGCTTAAAGACATAGCCCTTGGCAGTTCCCAGGTAGAGTGGTTCACAGATGGGAGCACTTCTGTCAACCAGGGAAGGGGGCAGGCTATGCAATCCTAAGCCCTCAGGAGACCACAGAAGCCAAGCCACACTCCCTGGGAATTTTTGGCCCAAAGGCTGGACTCCTAGCTTTGACCCAAGCTCTTTAAGTAGGAAAAGACAAAGGAGGCAGCATTTACACAGACTCCAAATAGGCCTTCCTTGTTTTACATGCTCATATTGCCATCTCGGAAGAAGGAACTAATAACAGCGAAACAAACAACCCTATTAAATATGACAGATTCTAAGGTTACTAAAGGTAATAAATGTCCCCCCAAAAGTAGCCGTGCTCCACTGTAAGGGACCTCGCTGAAATATCTAAAGGAAACCCCCTTATCAGCATGGCTGTAGAGGCTGCCAGGTCAGATACCTCTGTTATGGCCTTAATGCCACATACTCTTCCTCTGCTCATCAAACCAAGTTCTGCCCCTGAGGAAAACGCCTGGGCAGAAATGCAAGGTTCCCCATAAACAATGACGGATTGGAGATCACAGGCTGCTGCTCCCACCTAAGGAGCAAGGGAAGGTAATAAAACAGATTCTACCTATTTTTTAATATCAAAAATATTGGAAGAGGCCCTATGCCCTCTGTTCAGTTAATAAGCCAGGGAGAAAAATAAACCTCAAGCCTGTTCAAAGAATGGGTACCTTCCC